TGTGGTGGTGGTGTGTGTTGTGGTGGTGGTGGTGGTGGTGGCGGTGTGTGTTGTGGTGGTGGTGGCGGTGGTGTGTGTTGTGGTGGTGGTGGCGGTATGTATGGTTGTGGTGGTGGTGGTTATTGTGGCGCTGAATCCCGGTGTCTTGGGAGGCTCCCTGAGCGCGTGACTTCCGACCTCTCTGTTGATTCTGTGACCGGCCTCGCCCGGCGGGCAGCACCAAACCACGACCTCTGACCCCACTCGCGCTCTTCATGTTCCGCGCGCGAGCGTCCGCGTGTCCGCGTGTCCGTGTGTACGCGTGTGTGCGTATGTGCCTATGTGCCTACGTGCGTGCGTGCATGTGAGTGCCGAGCGATAGTGTAGTAGTTAGTGCTCTGCGCTATGAACCCGGCGACCTATGTTCCAATCCCGCTCACCAGTGACGATTATCTTTACCGGTCCTGGGCCTCTCCTAGGTGGACTCGGCCTCAAACGAGCAGCCTGTGCGGTGTGTAAACATCTGCACTGGGGAGACAAAGCGGCCGTCCGTGGTGCTGGCCACCCACCCCCTTCGTGTGCCGTACCGGCCTTAATAGGCGCTCGCTTAACAACACTTGCCCCAACGATCTGTTAAGGCTAAACGGGGGATCTTTGAGGAAGGCGCAGAGGTTAGCTCACCGCGCTATTCCTGCTCACGGCCAACACCAGCGACGAATATCTGAACCATCAACTCAGCCAGTTTTACTGCTCTGATCATCACAGTTTAACACGTAGGTTTTTGGGTTGGATGCGTTATTTATAAATGTGTCGCAACCCTCCACCACCCGACACGGTCAATCAGTTAAAAAAGTGTCACGTTGACAAAAGACAAATAGTTCACTACTTTAGCCCATCGATGTGTTGAAGAGTGAATCCACAACATTTACAATTTGAGTAGTGCGACGTTTCGCTGGAAATTACATCCAGCATCTTCGGGCGATTTGCCAGAATAATGAAGCCATCCACCTGATAATCACAATGTCCTTTGTTTGAGACCAAAACAGGAGGACTTCTTCACGCTTCTGGCTGTCACCCGATGATGTTGCTTGTTGTTGTTGTAACTACCGGCCAAACATCACGGTACTCGAATTGTCAATGTAGTGGATTTACAGGGGCCCCTCTACTTACCAACACTCCACTTACAAACTTCCAGAGATACGAACAAACTTGTCCGTATGTCCAGTTGCCTGTTTGGACCGAGAGTTGTAAGTTCAACCACCGCGCAATAGATGCCGGCGGTGACATCTACAGAACATGAAGTACCAGTAGCATCTACATCTACAGAACATGAAGAACCAGTGGCATCTCCAGCTACAGAACATGAAGAACCAGTGGGATCTACATCTACAGAACATGAAGAACCAGTGCCATCTACATCTGCAGAACGTGAAGAACCAGTGGCATCTACATCTACAGAACATGAAGAACCAGTGGCATCTACATCTGCAGAACGTGAAGACCCAGTGGCATCTACATCTACAGAACATGTGAACCAGAGGCATCTACATCCGCAGAACGTGAAGAACCAGTGGCATCTACATCTACAGAACGTGAAGAACCAGTGGCATCTACATCCGCAAAACGTGAATAACCAGTGGCATCTACATCTGCAGAACATGAAGAACCAGTGGTATCTACATCTACAGAACGTTAATAACCAGTGACATCTACAGGAGATTATACAACTTTTAAAGGCATTCCCCATGTTGAGTGTGTACACTGTACAACGTGTTTGGAATCGACAGGAGTAACGACTTACGAACATACATATGGAACCTAACTCGTTCGTAAGTAGAGGAGTCCCGTTGTCTTCAACACTCAACCGGTGTGCTGTACTAGTAGCGAATTGGCACGTTTTGGTTACGTGACTAACCTTACTAATTGACTGTCGGGTGATGGCGGGTTTAACGACACATTAATATTTACGAGATCTAACCAAAAAAAACTGTTACGGGTAATATTGGAAACGAAAGCCTGCTGTTGCGTGTTCAACTGAAAGTTAAAGCATTGCCTCGTTATACACGATGAAGGATACACTCCGGAGAACGCTCGTGAAGAGCTAATGCCACGGATGGTGATGTTGGCTCTACGAATATTGTACACGCGCAACGTCTGCAAATGCTTCTAAAGTTCAGAGAAGTTCTCTCTATCTCTCTCATCTACTTTATCTCGTGCCGCTTTAGCTCTCGTCACTCTCTCTCTCATCGTGTAGCGTTCCAGATGTGATTCCCGCACAGCGAGTTGGTTAACAACGAGGGAATCCCGTGAGTCTGGAGTTTGGGCTTTGCACGGATGCAAGCTGACTCCTGTAGCGACATGGTCAGACCTCGGCGCCATCATAGCAAGACGCACTTCACAGGTCTGATGTTGGTGCGAGCCACGGAGACAGCTTGCATCATCATTGTCATCAGCCATGATCTATCCACTGCTACGTATTACTGTGCATAGGCGCGCGTGCGTACAACGTGTGTGTAAAATAGAGCCAGCCGCTCGCGATAAGAAAGGTTGCGAGTTCTGCTTGTGCTTGCGGGGTTGACTCGGCCCATCATCCCTGCGGGGTCGAGAAAGTGAGTCGCACTTTGCGCGGAAGTGAACGGCGGTCGTCCCACGGAACGTGGAATTACCGGCGATGGCTCGAGCACGAGGGTGCGTCCGCGTGTGTGCGTGTGTATGTGTGTGTGCGTGTGTATGTGTGTGCGTGTGTATGTGTGTGTGCGTGTGTATGTACGAGCGTGCCTGGGTGCACCGGTCCCCCTCCATCGTGCTCAATCCTGATTCCCACGCGCCGCGCCAGAATCCACCATCTCGCTTCGTATGCCCCGTGCGATGTGGTCACCTGACCCCTGACGCAACCAGAGGGGGGCGCCACTACGCTCGCCACGAAGAGTCGGTAACCGGCACGAACCGGTACGAACATGTCACCGATACAAACCGGTACGAACCGGTGACCGGTACGAACATGTAACCGATACAAACCGGTACGAACCGGTGACCGGTATGAACCGGTGACCGAACGGGCGGGAGCATCGGTGGCTCCGGCGTGGGCGGTGCTGTGGAGCCACGCGGAGACGGATGATGAGGAGAAGGGGGGGGGCGATTCGAGTGAGACGCCCACCAAGGAAGAGTGGTGCCTGTTTGGCGATCGAATCGCCGCGGGTGGCTCATTGTTATCTACAGAAGTGTTTCCGCTCCGTTACCAAAGAGGTGCACGCGCATATGTGTGTGTGTGTGTTCACAGACACGGGTGTGTGTGTGTGTGTGTTCACAGACACGGGGGTGTGTGTGTGTGTGTGTTCACAGACACGGGTGTGTGTGTTCACAGACACGGGTGTGTGTGTGTTCACAGACACGGGTGTGTGTGTTCACAGACACGGGTGTGTGTGTGTTCACATACACGGGTGTGTGTGTGTGTGTTCACAGACACGGGTGTGTGTGTGTGCGCGGAGCGGTGGCGCAGTAGTTAGCGCACTGCATTCCAAAAACCCGGCGACTCAAATTCAGTGACCGATATCTGAACCGGTCCTGGGCCTCCCCGAGGTCAACTCGGCCTCAAATAAGTACCTGTTGCGGTTTGTGAACATCGCCACTAGGGAGACAAAAGTGGCCGGGCGCGGTGGTGACCACCCACCACCTCGTGTGCCGTGGCGGCCTTCATAGGTTCCACTCGCTAGCAGCACTTGCCCCGGCAAGTCTATCGAGGGTATGTGACGGATCTGTGTCTCTGTGCGGGCGTGTGCGTTCACAGGAAGGTGTGCGTTCACTGCCGGTGTGCGCGCGAGGAGCACGCCGTCGCCATGGTGACAGTTGCCGGGGAGACGGAGAGAGGGGGGGGCGGCTCTGACGATGACTCGGGGTGTGCGCTCGAGGAGCTGGTGTGGGCGCCGCCCGGCCTCACCCCCGAGCAGGTGGGGCGGACACGCACGCACGCGTACAGACACGCACACGTACAGACACGCACGCACGCGTACAGACACGCACACGTACAGACACGCACACGTACAGACACGCACGCGTACAGACACGCACGCGTACAGACACGCACGCGTACAGACACGCACGCGTACAGACACGCACACGTACAGACACGCACGCACGCGTACAGACACGCACACGTACAGACACGCACACGTACAGACACGCACGCGTACAGACACGCACGCGTACAGACACGCACGCGTACAGACACGCACGCGTACAGACACGCACCCGTACAGACACGCACGCACGCGTACAGCCACGCACACGTACAGACACGCACACGTACAGACACGCACGCGTACAGACACGCACGCGTACAGACACGCACGCGTACAGACACGCACGCGTACAGACACGCACGCGTACAGACACGCACGCGTACAGACACGCACGCGTACAGACACGCACGCGTACAAACACGCACGCGTACAGACACGCACACGTACAGACACGCACGCGTACAGACACGCACGCGTACAGACACGCACGCGTACAGACACGCACGCGTACAGACACGCACACGTACAGACACGCACGCACGCGTACAGACACGCACACGTACAGACACGCACGCACGAGTACAGACACGCACGCGTACAGACACGCACGCGTACAGACACGCACGCACGCGTACAGACACGCACGCGCACAGACACGCACGCGTACAGACACGCACGCGTACAGACACGCACGCGTACAGACACGCACGCACACGGACACGCACACAGACACGCACACAGACATGCACACACGCATGCGCACATACATGCACGCACACGCATACGCATGCGCACAGACATGCACGCACACAGACACACGCACACAGACGCACGCACACGGACACGCACGCACACAGATGCACGCACACAGGCACGCACGCACACAGGCACGCACACAGACACGCACGCACACAGACACGCACGCACACAGACACGCACGCACACAGACACGCACACAGACACGCACGGACACGCGCGCACACAGACGCACGCAGACACGCACGCACACAGACAGACACGCGTACACACACACGCCCGCACACAGACACGCAGGCACACAAACGCACACGCACGCAGGCACGCACGCAGACACGCACACAGACACGCACGCACACAGACAGACTCGCGCACACACACGCCCGCACACAAACACGCACACACGTGTACAACAACAACCGCCATTCGCCACTAAGTGGCGGTGACGTCACCACGACGCTTGTGCCAGGCCATGTGCACCTTGAGGCCACGAGGCAGTCCCAGATGCCACGGGTCGACTGACTGAGATGACTGGCTGATGCACCACCTGTGCTCCCTACCGTGCCAACCTGCTGTGCTTTAGCCACCCGGCGCTCCGCTCGTTGTTGTGAGCGTCGCTCCTCCGCCCTCCGTTGTTGTTGGAGGGCGACTACCTCCAACTGCCCCAGTAGCGTCCTTCACGAGCCTCCACAGAGGCCGATCTTGACACCGCTGGTACCGGTCATCGTCAAGTCCACTCAGCTCCACGTCCTCCTGTACCACATCACTCCATCTCTTCTCTAGCCCATGCCCGCGACCGTTCAGCCCCCTCGATCCGGACGAACAAAAGCTGTTTCGGCATGCGGTGGCTGGGCATGCGGGATACATGACCCAGCCATCGCAGCCCTTGCCCGCCGGAGGAGCTCACCGATGACCTTGCCCAGATCTTTCAAGGATTTGTGAGCTCCTCACACAATCCAGTCTGGATGGATCGTAGGCAGGCCAGCCTAAATTTTTCTAACAGGCGAAGATGTTCCATTAGGGGGGTCCACGTTTCGCAAGCGTAGAGAAGGGAGGAAATGACCGTGGCCGAGAAGACCTGAAGCTTAGTGCGGAGCGACAGACCAGGTAGCTTCCACACAGCGTTACGCAACCGATGAAAAGATAATGCCGCTCGACTGTTTCGGAGTGAGACCTCTGCTGTTAAACCGGAGCCGGTCATGTGCACACTGTCAAGGTATGGGCAACTCTCCACTCTCTCCACAACTGCCCCATCACCCAGGCAGGTGCTTGGTTTTGGTGGGGCTGATGGTAAGCCCCCACCTCTTGGTGGCAAGCTCCAGGTTCAGCAGCAGCGCCTCCAACTCCTCCTCTGAGTGAGCAGCAATTACCAGATCATCGGCATACATAACGTGGTTGAGCAATAAGGAGCCATCCCTTGACCGCACCCGGGCATCGGTCAGCCTCCCATTGTATCTGTACCAGATGGAAATTCCTCCGGTACAGCTATTGAAGGCTTCACGAACTACATGGTCAAAATAGATGTTAAATAATGTGGGAGCCAGAGGACATCCCTGTCGCACCCCAAAGTGAACAGGGAATGGCTCTGACACCCGGCCACGTAGTTTTACCCGGGCCCGCTCACCATCATGAAGGTCCTTAATGATCGTGAGCAGAGGGTCAGGGACTCCGAAAGCACGAAGAACAACCCAGAGCCCAGGCCTACTGATGGTATCATAGGCCTTGACCAGGTCAATAAAGCAGAGATGTAGGTCTTGTTGGAATTACCTACACCTCTGCTGTAGCATCTGTGCAGGACCGCCCTTTCCTGAAACCGCATTGGGGCTCCGCAAGCCTCTCCTCAGCGTGCCTGGCACACAGACAAAAAGACAAATGCAAAGATCCCCCATATAGCCTTAAAAGGCAAGTGCTGTTAGCGAGTAGCACCTATGAAGTCCGGCATGGTATACGAGGGGGTGGGTGGCCAGCACTGCGCCCGGCCGCCTTTGTCTCCCCAGTGACGATATTTACTACACACCTTTGTCTGCCCAGTGACGATGTTTACACACCGCACCAGTTTTTGAGGCTGAGTCGACCGAGGGGAGGCCCAAGGCTGGTTCAGATAATCACTGGTATTGGCAGTGAGTGGGAATCGAACTCGGGTCGCTAGGTTCATAGCGATGGGCGCTAACCGCTACACTACCGATCCCCACCTGCGCACACACACACTTCGTGAATACACACACACACAGCACGTACACACACACACACACCACGTAAATACACACACACCATGTAAATACACACACACCACGTAAATACACACCACGTACACACACACACCACGTAAATACACACCACGTACACACACACAACACGTGCACACACACACAGCACGTGCACACACACAGCACGTGCACACACACACCACACACAACACACACACACCACACACACACACCACACACACACCACACACACACACACCACACACACAACACGTGCACACACACACACAACACGTGCACACACACCACATACACACACACAACACGTACACACGCACACACACACACACAACACGCACACACACACACACACCACATACACACACACAACACGTACACACGCACACACACACACAACACGTACACACACACCACACACACACACACCACATACACACACACAACACGTACACAGACCACACACACCACACACACACACACAACAGGTATACACACGCACACACACAGCACGTACACACACACACACACCACACACACACCACACACACAACACGTATACACACACACAACACGTGCACACACACCACATACACACACACAACACGTGCACACACACACACACCACACACACACATACCACACACACTCATGCTGCGCAATCACTTGCCGTCCCAACGCAATTATTGCTCCGTTTTGCAAAGTTTGAATGAAATTAAATCGGCGGGCTCTGCGTAGGCATGGTGACGCACGGTTGCTCCTGAAAAGGAGATCATGAATCTCAATGGGGCCCCCCCCCCTACTCGCCCCCCGCCGCCACACCCCCCCGCCCCCCGCCTGGTTAAACGAGCGCCGGTGAATCAGCGCTCACCGGTGGCCTTGACGAGCGAGCGCCGCCGCCGCCGCCATGGAGGGCGGCCCCGGCGGCGGCGGCGCCGCTCGAGGGGTTCGAATCTGGCGGGCCGCCCCGGCTAATAGCGCCGTTGTGCACGTGCGTTCGTTATGTTCCATTGATAGAAGTAACGGACTCCTCGCGACTCGCCCACCACCCCTCCCCCGCTTCCCCGTGTCTGCCCCCCGCCTGCCCCTCCTCCCCATACAAAGCAAAGCGTTCTCTACGCGAAGAACACAACCCGCACGTCGGGGGAGAGATGTGGGAAGGAGTTGAGTTGTTGTTGCCAGTTGAGGGCAGCTACTCTGGAGAAAACCGGATAGGCACTTGAGAACCTGGTTTGATCTCCCGTGTCTCGGCCCTGTGTCCCCGTGTCTCTCCCGTGTCTCTCCCGTGTCTCTCCCGTGTCTCCCTGCATCTCCCCCTGTATCTCTCCGCGTCTCTCCTGTGTCTCCCCGTGTCTCACCGTGTCCCACCCCCCCCGTGTCCCCTCCGTGTCCCCCCCCGTGTCCCCCCCCCCCGTGTCCCCCCCCCGTGCCCCCCCCGTGTCCCCCCCCGTGTCCCCGTCTGTGTTTCCCCGTGTCTCCCCACGTCTCCCTGCATCTCCCCGCGCCTCCCCTGTGTCTCCACACGTCTTCCCGCATCTCTCTGCGTCTCCCCGCGTCTCCCGGCATGCCGTAGGTGCAGCGCTATTTCCGCGCACTCCCCGAGGACCGCGTGCCGCTGGTGAGCAGCGCCGGTGAGCGGCACCGCGTGCGTCAGCTGCTGCGCCAGCTCCCGCCACACGACCACGAGGTGACCGCCCGCTCACCCGCCCACCCGCTCACCCGTTCACCCCTCCACCCGCTCACCCGCCCACCCGCTCACCCGCCCACCCGCTCACCCGCCCACGCGTTCACCCGTCCACCCGCTCACCCGCCCACCCGCTCACCCGGCCACCCGTTCACCCGCTCACCCGCCCACCCGCTCTCCCGCTCACCCGCTCTCCCGCTCACCCGCCCACCCGTTCACCCGTCCACCTGCTCACCCGCCCACCCGCTCACCCGCTCTCCCGCTCACCCGCCCACCCGTTCACCTGGCCACCCGCTCACCCGGCCACCCGCTCACCCGCTCACCCGCTCACCCGGCCACCCGTCCACCCGCTCACCCGCTCACCCGGCCACCCGCTCACCCGTTCACCCGTTCACCCGCCCATCCGCTCACCCGTCCACCCGCCCACCCGCTCATCTGCTCACGAAGTGACCGCCTCTGTTGAACTAGTTACTGAAACTACTGAGCTATGTAGCTCCTTTTCATCACGTGGAAATTTACAGCGGCCAAATACGTGCTGTCTTTGTTGTCGTCATTGTCGTCGTTGTTGTTGTCGTCATTGTCGTTGTCGTCATTGTCGTTGTTGTTGTCATCGTCGTTGTTGTTGTCGTCATTGTCGTTGTCGTCATTGTCGTTGTCGTCATCGTCGTTGTTGTTGTCATCGTCGTTGTTGTTGTCGTCATTGTCGTTGTCGTCATCGTCGTTGTTGTTGTCGTCCTTGTTGTTGTCGTTGTTGTTGTTGTCATTGTCATCGTCGTTGTTGTTGTCGTCATTGTCGTTGTCGTCATCGTCGTTGTTGTTGTCGTCCTTGTTGTTGTCGTTGTTGTCATCGTCCTTGTTGTCCTCGTCGTTGTTGTCATCGTCCTTGTTGTTGTCGTCCTTGTTGTTGTCGTCCTTGTTGTTGTCATCGTCGTCATTGTCATCGTCGTCGTCGCGTCCGCAGCCGCGCTACTGCTCGTCGCTGGACGCCGCTGGCGAGCGAGCGCTGCGCTCCTTCACCGCGGCGCGGCAGAGGGAGGCGCTGGGGCGCGGCGCGGTGCGAGTGGTCCCCCCCACCGGAGCCGGCTCCGTGTGCCGCCAGGTGAGGCCTTCCGCCGGATAACCGGGATCGGGGGTTGGGGGGGGGGGGGCTCAGAGGGCCTGGGGTCCGCGGGGTCACGCCGACGTCGGCCGGGCGCGTGAGCGGCGGCCGTGCGGCCGACCCCGGCTTGGACCCCGGCCTGGACCCCGGCTTGGACCCCGGCTTGGACCCCGGCTTGGACCCCGGCCACGGCGAGAATGACGCCGGGTGCGGTGTGCCGGTCCGCCGACCCGGCCGGCACCCGCCGGGTGAAGCCCTGGTTGAGAGGGAGCGTGATTGCCGCTCGCGTGCTTTGGCGATCGTGGGGTTGAGGGCTCGAGGTTGTTTCGAGGTCACGGGTTTGTCTTTAGGGGTCGAGGGGTGAGCGGCGACGTGGCTCTGCGTGTGCCCGTCCCCCGTGTTTGACTGCCCGTGCCGTGCGTGCCCCCCCCCCACCCCCTCAGCCCCCCACCCCCCCCCCCCCCACCCCGTGTGCGTGTGCACGTTCGTGACCGTCCCGCCCTCTTCCCGTGCGTCCGTGCAGTGCGGCGGCACGGTGGGGCCCGGCTCGCTGGCCGTGTGTGCGGCCCGCGCCGGCCCCGCGGCCAGCTGGCACCCCGGCTGCTTCGCCTGCGCCGCCTGCCGCGAGCTCCTCGTCGACCTCGTCTACTTCTACGCCGACGGCGCCGTCTACTGCGGCCGGCACCACGCCGAGCGCAGCAAACCACGCTGTGCTGCCTGTGACGAGGTGCGTGAATACCACGCTCCCCCTCCTCCACCCCCTCCTCCACCCCTCCACCCCTCCACCCCCGCACCCCACCGAGAGGGGGTACGTGGACCCCATGGCCCGGGGGGGTCAGGGGTTACGTGGCAATGTCCCCCGGGGGTGGTGGGGTGGGGGGTGCGGTGCGTGTACGTGGGGCGACATCGTAAACACGTCAAACGATGTCACGGGTAGGGGAGCCGTTGGTGAACCGTCGCCTGTCTCACCGTGTCCGACGCGGAATAATCCACGACACGATTTCAACCCACGTGGTAAACATAGAACTACCGTATGTGAAAAGGCCTTTCAACCGTCCGTTGAATGTTGTTGTTGTTGTTGTATTCGCTTGCAGTTACTTAGCCTCCCAAAATGGACACTGGTGAAAAAAAAATTTGATGTTCGTGATTCATGCATTTGTAACAAGGGGGTTAGAGTAGCAGCCAGACAAGGTTGACGACCACCGCTCTGACGGGCTGTTGGGGCGAGCGTCGCGAGCGACCGCCTGCCAAGACCGGTGTGGCCAGCGCCACCCCCCGCTCGCGCGCCGTGCCGCCGGCGCTCGCCCCGAGGGCCCGTCGAGGCTACGCGGGAGAGCCACGTGCGTTAACGCGCGGACGCCGAGTGCCGCTCCCGTTGTCCCGGCGGGGCGACCCCGCGCGTCTGTGTCCGAGCAGCTGATCTTCCAGGAGGAGTGCGTGCAGGCCGAGGGCCGCTGCTGGCACCGCGACCACTTCTGCTGCTTCGAGTGCGAGGCGGCGCTCGCCGGCGCTCGCTACCTGATGCGGGACGGCCGCCCCCACTGTGTCGCGTGCCACCAGGCGCTCTACTCGGTCTACTGCGACGCGTGCGGCTCCCAGATCGGTAAGCACCCGCCCGTGCCCACGAACGCGCCCGCCCACAAGTGCCCGCCCACAAGTGCCCGCCCACAAGTGCCCGCCCACAAGTGCCCGCCCACAAGTGCCCGCCCACAAGTGCCCACGAGAGCACGTGCCCGCGCACGCGGCCAAACGACCGCCACGCCGAATGGGATAGCGGAGATGCCCGCTGGCTGAAGGGGTGGTGGTGGTGGTGGTGGCGTCGGTGGTAGTGGTTGAGGAGGGATGGTGGTGTTGGCGGTGGTGGGGGAGAGCGGTAGCGTAGCGGTTGGCGCGCTGCGCTGCAAACCTGGCGACCAAAAACAATTCCGGCTGGAGTGGTGGTGCAGTGGTTAGCACATTGGGTTGTGAGTGGTGGTGCAGTGGTTAGCACCTTGGGTTATGAGTGGTGGTGCAGTGGTTAGCACATTGGGCTATGAGTGGTGGTGCAGTGGTTAGCACATTGGGCTGTGAGTGGTGGTGCAGTGGTTAGCACATTGGGTTATGAGTGGTGGTGCAGTGGTTAGCACATTGGGCTATGAGTGGTGGTGCAGTGGTTAGCACATTGGGTTATGAGTGGTGGTGCAGTGGTTAGCACATTGGGTTATGAGTGGTGGCGCAGTGGTTAGCACATTGGGTTATGAGTGGTGGTGCAGTGGTTAGCACATTGGTTTATGAGTGGTGGTGCAGTGGTTAGCACATTGGGTTATGAGTGGTGGTGCAGTGGTTAGCACATTGGGCTGTGAACCCTACCGGCTAACGTGGATGGTTTCGTGATATCCAAATCGGTTCTGGACACACCTCTCCCACCAACATGCATTGTCCAGTTCCAAGCAGTGCATTGATCAAGGGCTGTACGTTACATCACGTGACAAAGGCCCCCTTGGGTGTATAAATTACCCTTTAACTTGACGTATTCTCGTGCATTTCCAAAGCGATGTTTGAATTACAGTTGCGTGGAGTTTGACATTCGTGAAACGTCTCCCAAAGGTCTCTGACATCACGCGCCATCTGCATCTCCGTGTGAGGAGGGGGGGGGGCCCGCTGGGGCCGTGGTTCGTTATTGTTGACTTTATAAATTAATCGGCGAATATAATTTCTGGAGATTAAGTTGTAATATCGCGTGCGATTAGAAACCCGGCTCTTGTTTAACGAACGCGACGCAGAGTAAACACCGTCTAATCCCCCGTGTAATCACCGCGCCGATGGCTCGTGCCGGGGATGAGAGTGCCGGGGATGAGCGTGACGGGGTTGAGAGTGATTGGGTGGAGAGTGACGGGGTTGAGAGTGACAGGGATGAGAGTGATGGGGTTGAGAGTGACAAGAATTGAGAGTGATGGGGTTGAGAGTGACTGGGTTGAGAGTGCCGGGGATGAGCGTGACGGGGTTGCGAGTGACGGGGTTGCGAGTGACGGGGTGGAGAGTGACGGGGTTGAGAGTGACGGGGTTGAGAGTGACTGGGTTGAGAGTGACGGGGTTGTGACGGGGTTGAGAGTGACAGGGTTGAGAGTGACTGGGTTGTGACGGGGATGAGAGTGACGGGGTTGAGAGTGACGGGGTTGAGAGTGACGGGGTTGAGCGTGACGGGGTTGAGAGTGGCGGGGTTGAGAGTGACGAGGTTGAGAGTGACGGGGTTGAGAGTGACGGGGATGAGAGTGACGGGGTGGAGAGTGACTGGGTTGAGAGTGACGGGGTTGTGACGGGGATGAGAGTGACGGGGTGGAGAGTGACGGGGATGAGAGTGACGGGGATGAGAGTGACGGGGATGAGAGTGACGGGGTGGAGAGTGACGGGGTGGAGAGTGACGGGGTTGAGAGTGACGGGGTGGAGAGTGACGGGGTTGAGAGTGACGGGGTTGTTAGTGACGGGGTGGAGAGTGACGGAGTTGAGAGTGACGGGGTTGAGAGTGACAGGGTTGAGAGTGACTGGGTTGAGAGTGACTGGGTTGAGAGTGACGGGGTTGAGAGTGACGGGGTTGAGAGTGACGGGGTGGAGAGTGACTGGGTTGAGAGTGACGGGGTTGAGAGTGACGAGGTTGAGAGTGACTGGGTTGAGAGTGACGGGGTTGAGAGTGACGGGGTGGAGAGTGACGGGGTTGAGAGTGACTGGGTTGAGAGTGACGGGGTTGAGAGTGACGGGGTGGAGAGTGACTGGGTTGAGAGTGACAACGATTGAGAGTGACGAGGTTGAGAGTGACGGGGTTGAGAGTGACGGGGTTGAGAGTGACGGGGTGGAGAGTGACTGGGTTGAGAGTGACTGGATTGAGAGTGACGAGGTTGAGAGTGACGAGGTTGAGAGTGACGAGGTTGAGAGAGACGGGGATGAGAGAGACGGGGATGAGAGTGACGAGGTTGAGAGTGACGGGGTGGAGAGTGACTGGGTTGAGAGTGACGGGATTGAGAGTGACTGGGTTGAGAGTGACGGGGTTGAGAGTGACTGGGTTGAGAGTGACGAGGTTGAGAGTGACGGGGTTGAGAGTGACGGGGATGAGAGTGACGGGGTTGAGAGTGACGGGGTTGAGAGTGACGGGGTGGAGAGTGACGGGGTGGAGAGTGACGGGGTGGAGAGTGACGGGGGTGAGAGTGACGGGGTGGAGAGTGACGGGGTTGAGAGTGACGGGGGTGAGAGTGACGGGGATGAGCGTGACGGCGTCAGGGTTGGTACCGATCCCACGACCTCTTGTAAACCCGGCGAGGTAGTTAACATCTCGCCACCATGGCGCCCCAGTGGATTTCAGAGGTAGCTCTGTGATTCCCACTTCCGCAGAGGCTTTTCACTCGCACGGAGGGGGGGGTCGCCGAGTTCCGAATGGATTCTGCGTCGCTTGACGACCCCGGGGGGTCGCGTGGTCCACGTACAAATCGGACAGGGATTGTGCGGTGACCCCCACCGCACCCCCACGCCTCCCGGTGACAAACGGCGTGCGGAGAAAATGAGACGGCAACGCGCGCCGGTGGCGAAACGAAACCGGGGAGCGCCGAACACCGGGGCGGCGGTGACGTACGGTCACCGAGCAAGCGGCGCCGGCAAGCGCTTTACAAATGTTGGTGCGCTCGCGCTCAAGGGTGGGGGGGGAGCGAGGGTGGGGGGGAGCGAGGGTGGGTGGGGGGGGAGCGAGGGTGGGGGGGGAGCGAGGGTGGGGGGGGCGCCGTCGCTGGAGGGTTTGCTCGTTCGCACGGGGTATAAGTAACGTTCATCGAAGTGCGAAGCTGTGCATCCAGCAGTGGATAACTGATGGCCAAGGCGAATGTGCACGTGTTGCGCATGCGCGGTGCGGGTGTGGGTGTTCCTTGGGTGTGTTTGGGGAGCCGTGGTGTAGCGGTTAGCACGCTGCGCTACGAACCCGGTGGCCCGAGTTAGATTGCCGCTCACGGCCGACACCAGCGAAGATTATCTGAACCGGTCCTGGGCATCCCCTAGGTCGACTTAGCCTTAAATGAGACAAAGGCAGTCGGGCGTGGTGCTGGCCACCGCCCCCCTCGTGTGCCATAGGTGCTGCTCGCTAACAGCACTTGTTGGTGCGGTGGATAAACATCGCCACTAGGGAGACAAAGGCGGTCGGGCGTGGTGCTGGCCACCCACCCCCTCGTGTACCGTTCCGGCCTTCATAGGTGCTCGCTAACAGCACTTGCCCCTACAGTCTGTTAAGGCTATACGGGGGATCTTTGTCTTTTACCTTTGTGCGTGCGCCGTCCACAGGTGCCGACGAGGGCCAGATGACGCACGACGGGCAGCACTGGCACGCGCGGGCCGAGTGCTTCAGCTGCGCGCGCTGCCACGCGCCGCTGCTGGGCGCCCCCTTCCTGCCACGCCAGGGCGCCATCTTCTGCTCCAAGGCCTGCAGCCGGGCGGCCAACGCGGCCCCGGGAACCCCGCCGGCGCCGGCGCCCGGCGACACCGAGTCGGACTCCTCGGCCGCCACCGTGGTGCCGCCCCTCCCGCTCCAGGGCCTGCGGGGCTCTGCCCGGCGGGGCGGGAGGGCGAGGGGCGGCACCGGCGCCCAGGCCGGCCGGTCCGCGCCGCCGCCCGTGTCGGATCTCGCCCCGGGGCCGCCGGGCGGCGCCCCGCGCCGTCGGGGCGCCCGCGCCCCCCTCCCCGGAGAGGCGCCGCCGGGCCGCGGGGCCGCCGCCGGTACCGCCGAAAAGGCCGCCCCCCGCGGGCGGCGCGGCGCACGCGGACTGGAGCCGGCCCTCGCTGGAGCTCTCCGACAGCGACACGTCGGGCCCGTCGCAGCCCGGGATGTTGGCCGCGCCCCCCGGCGGCGCCGCCGGCGTCGGCGGACGGATCACGGTGACGAGCTCGCCGGTGCCCGCCACGGCCGACGGGACCTCTTCGCCTGATCGTGACGACGACGACGACGACGACGGTCGCGGTGACCGCCCGGCAGAGCCTGCTCGGAGCGAGGAAATGGAGGCGCCGGCGGAAACGGCCGAGGACGGGCGGGACCGCGGTCGGCGGCGCAGTCGGGAGGCGAAGTTGGCGGGCGACGAGCCGGGGAGGGAGGAGCGGCGGGGGAGCGGCGCCGCCCCCCGTCGCTCGCACAGCTGTGACTCCCGCCAGCGCCGGTGGAACGGGCGAGCGGAGCCACGTGGAGCCGAGCCTCTTCCCCGGCAGCCCCGGCAGGGCCCGGCCAATGCCGAACCGCTACGGCGCTCGTGCTCCCTGCCGCGCGGAGTCGCGCCGGCACCGGCTCCCGCGCCGAGCGCGGATCGCTCCGGAGCCGAGCCCGCCGGGGGGTCGGAGCCTCCGTCGGGCGGAGCCGCACGAGGCGACGACGCCGCGGACGGCGGCGGCGGCGCCGCCGATCGCGCCGGCGCGGCGGACGGCGACGGCGGTTGCCGTCACTCCGGCGGCACCGGCGGCGGCAACAACGACGACCTCCGCCGCCGCCGTCACGGCCGACACCATCGCTACAGCCGCCAGCGCAGACACCGTCACGACCACCGCCGGCGCCTCGGCTGCGAGCCAGGAGAGACGGGCTGCGACCACGCCTCCTCTGACACGGACTCATCCACCACCTCCTCCTCCTCGTCCGACGAGGAGGAGGAGGGCTACTTCCTCGGAGAGCCGATCCCCGGAACGCGCGTCCCGCGCTTGCGCTACGTCACGCACGACGAGGTGGTGGGCAGTGCGGCGCAGGCCGCCGCCCCTGCGCCGCTCGCCGCTCCGACCCCTAGCCGCAGGGGCAAGAACCGCCGACGTGGGGATGGAACGAGCAGCAAGGGCTGCGTGATGGCCTGAGCGAACATTCCCTGATAGATGTCCCACATTCCCAAACCCAGCTCCCACATTCCCAAACCCAGCTCCCACATTCCCAAACCCAGCTCCCACATTCCCAAACCCAGCTCCCAGATTCCCAAACCCAGCTCCCACATTCCCAAACCCAGCTCCCACATTCCCAAACCCAGCTCCCACATTCCCAATCCCTACTGTCACATTCCCAAACCCAGCTCCCACATTCCCAATCCCTACTGTCACATTCCCAAACCCAGCTCCCACATTCCCTAACCCAGCTCCCAGATTCCCAAACCCAGCTCCCACATTCCCAATCCCTACTGTCACATTCCCAAACCCAGCTCCCACATTCCCAAACCCAGCTCCCACATTCCCTAACCCAGCTCCCACATTCCCAATCCCCACTGTCACATTCCCAAACCCAGCTCCCACATTCCCAATCCCTACTGTCACATTCCCAAACCCAGCTCCCACATTCCCTAACCCAGCTCCCAGATTCCCAAACCCAGCTCCCACGTTCGCATTCCCGAGCTCCTTGTCGCTCAATCCTGACTTTGCGGCCGGGTGCCTTTTGCCTTCACTGCGGACGTTTTCCTTATGCAAGACTAGAACGTGGCTTTAGCGACGTAGTTTTATATTTATATAGACATATATATTTACAATGCTAAAGCATTTGTTGTTGTGGACAAAAAAGTATTTATTTTTGACACGATGCCTGAAATCGAACGAGCGCATTTCTCTCGTCGGCTGTTTTTTTGCATGCGTCGCGTTTATATACTGTGGCCTTCTTGTTGTCGTTTTTATACACTCGTAGATCGCGCGCTTTCTTGTCATTAACCGCGGGTCACTCTTTTTAGTCGCGTAGGGAAATATATATTTTTGGCAGCAAGCGCCGGGCGTAGCGGCTCCGCGCGTCGAACCTCGCGCTCACGCACGCACCGCGCTCACGCACACACGCACCGCGCTCACGCACCGTGCTCACACACGCACCGTGCTCACACACGCACCGTGCTCACGCACCGTGCTCACACACGCACCGCGCTCACGCACGAACGTCTGCGGGAAGTGCCGGCCTCGTCGCGCACGCACGCGTGCCGGGTGTGGGCGGCTCGATTGCCCGAGTCCGCGCATGCGATGGTCGGATATGCGACGTTTTGCCGTATTTGCGTTTCGTGCCGAATTGCTGCCACGTGCAAATCGCAGATTAAACGCCGCTCTCACGGCCGCGCTCGTGGACAGGGGGAGCCGATCGGCGCAAGCGAAGTGCGGAGGCGCCAGGTCTGCCGAGACGAGAGGGACGAGGGATTGGTTCGCGAATCGGATTCCTGGCCGCGCCCCGTCTACCTTAAATCGGTGGCCGGTGCGGTGGATAAACATCAGCACCGGGGAGAAAAACGTGGCCGGGGCGTTGTGCTGGCCGCACCGGCTCCTCGGAACCCACGCAGGCGCTCGCTGACAGCACTGGCGCCAGCAGTCTTTCAAGGCTACGTGCGGGGCAGTGGTGCCGATTCAACTCCAGAGTCGCTGAACGCGCAAGTGCAGCACGTGGCGGGACTGTTCGTCTTCAAAGGGGAGCCGGGTGGTGACCATGGAAACGTGCATCGTGCGGTGGGTGGTGACCCCCAGGGGCTTCACTTCTCTCTCCGTATTCGCCAGAACACCCGCAGGGGCTGGCATGGGGTCAGGATAATAATCGCTACACCGATCTACAATATTCCGATCGGATTGTACCCTCTGCATTTGTTTCTAATCCCATGACCAGGCTTTATGGGACTGCAGAGCATGCATTGAGGACAAAAGCAAACCGAGGCGAGGCGGCCAGTCGTGGACGTGGCGTGCCAACGGAAAAACGCGGAACCGCGACGCGCACTGGTGAGGAGCACCGGAGTGCGGGGTGGTGGTGGGGGCACACCCTGGGGTGTCCACTGTCACGTGGGGACACCCTGTGGTGTCCACTGTCACGTGGGCACAACCTGTGGTGCCCACTGTCACGTGGGCACACCCTGTGGTGTCCACTGTCACGTGGGGACACAACCTGGGGTGTCCACTGTCACGTGGGGACAGACCCTGGGGTGTCCACTGTCACGTGGGGACAGACCCTGGGGTGTCCACTGTCACGTGGGGACAGACCCTGGGGTGTCCACTGTCACGTGGGGACAGACCCTGGGGTGTCCACTGTCACGTGGGGACAGACCCTGGGGTGTCCACTGTCACGTGGGGACAGACCCTGGGGTGTCCACTGTCACGTGGGGACAGACCCTGGGGTGTCCACTGTCACGTGGGGGCAGACCCTGGGGTGTCCACTGTCACGTGGGGGCACCCTGTGGTGTCCACTGTCACGTGGGGGCACAACCTGGGGTGTCCACTGTCACGTGGGGACAGACCCTGGGGTGTCCACTGTCACGTGGGGACAGACCCTGGTGTGTCCACTGTCACGTGGGGGCACAACCTGGGGTGTCCACTGTCACGTGGGGACAGACCCTGGTGTGTCCACTGTCACGTGCCGACAGACCCTGGGGTGTCCACTGTCACGTGGGGGCAGACCCTGGGGTGTCCACTGTCACGTGGGGACAGACCCTGGGGTGTCCACTGTCACGTGGGGACAGACCCTGGGGTGTCCACTGTCACGTGGGGACACCCTGTGGTGTCCACTGTCACGTGGGGACACCCTGTGGTGTCCACTGTCACGTGGGGACAGACCCTGGCGTGTCCACTGTCACGTGGGGACAGACCCTGGGGTGTCCACTGTCACGTGGGGACAGACCCTGGGGTGTCCACTGTCACGTGGGGACAGACCCTGTGGTGTCCACTGTCACGTGGGGACAGACCCTGGTGTGTCCACTGTCACGTGGGGACAGACCCTGTGGTGTCCACTGCCACGTGGAGACAGACCCTGGCGTACTCTTTGGTTCTATTCGGTAAAGGACGCTGTCCTCTGGACAGTCCAGTCCCTTCACCTGATGAAGGCCACTTGTGTTGTGGCCGAAACGTCGTGATTTTTTGTTATTTTATTTTTACCTACGTGACTTTACCGAATAGAACCAAAGAGTATGGATCCTTGCAGTCACGAAAGCTTCAAATCTAGAAAAAGACCCTGGCGTGTCCACTGCCACGTGGGGGCACAACCTGGGGTGTCCACTGTCACGTGGGGACAGACCCTGTGGTGTCCACTGTCACGTGGGGACAGACCCTGGGGTGTCCACTGCCGCGTGCTGCCTGCACGTATGACGCGCGCTGTCCGGCTTGGTGAATAAATCGAGACTGTGCAGCTGAGTAACTGTGTCGCGTCACTCTTGCAGACAAAGATCCCCCGTGTAGCCCTAACAGACTGTAGGGGCAAGTGCTGTTAACGAGTAGCACCTATGAAGGCCGGCATGGCACACGAGGGAGTGGGTGGCCAACACCACGCCCGGCCGCCTTTGTCTCCATCGTGGCGAAATTTACATTTGAGGCCCAGTCGACGTAGGGGAGGCCCAGGACCGGTTCAGATAATCGTCACCTTTGTTGACCATGAGCGGGAATCGAATCCGGGTTCGCGAGGTTTGTAGCGCAGTACAGCTCCGCTAAACCGCTACGAAGACTAAGGACACGCATCAAACCATCGACAGCATCGCCATCAGCCATGATCAATCCACCGCTGGATGAAGGCCTCCCTACGATGTCACAATCCACGTGGCACCCGCGTGGATGTTCTCTCGAGCTTGCTACCGTCTCTGTCGGCAATTTCCTCCATTGGTTGCTGCTCCGGCTTTAAACTATTAAACTAAACTATTTGTTTTTAGTTTTCCCAGGTAAGGCCCCAACTGAGCTATGTATCTCTTGTTTTTATAAGCGACCTGGCTACCACAAATGATAGCTCAACGAAGTGGCTTATCATCACGTGGAAATGTCGAGCAGCCAAATACTCTTCAACGCGTGACGTTGATTATAAATGTGGAGGGGAAAACCGGAGGATCTGGAGACATCCACACTACCACGGGAGAGAGAGACACTGCAAGCTCTAAATATACAGCAGCAGCAGGCTTCAGGGTCGGGATCGAACCCACGGCCTCCTATAGACCATCAGGCGAGGTAGTTAACATCTCCTAGCCACCGCGACATTCGTCTCGGCCATCATACCCTGAACGCCGACACAGCGTAGCCCCCGACTCTTCAACGTTACCACTGTGGGCCAGCTTCACTCTTACTGTGGATCGGCAGTTTTCGTGCTATTGGACGTTGACACCTTTGATCGTTATTGATATCCAGGCTGATGTAGGTGGAGCAAGAGGATTCCAGGTGGAGCCAGAGGGAACCAGGTGGAGCCAGGTGAAGGCAGTGACATCCAGGCTGATGTAGGTGGAGCCAGAGGATTCCAGGTGGAGCCAGAGGGAACCAGGTGGAGCCAGGTGAAGGCAGTGATATCCAGGCTGATGTATGTGGAGCCAGAGGATTCCAGGTGGAGCCCAGTGAGTGCTCATGGAGGTGGTGTCTGGCAGGGGGAGCCACTGAGAGGAGCCGGGCGAAGTGGGTGGAGGAGGGAGCGGTAGGGGGGCATCCATTCAGTACGTATGGGGGGGGGGGGGGTCTACTGACACGTTACATACGCATAGGAAACGGGGGGGAGGGGGGTGAAGCCTCGATAATAATTTGTCTACATTGGCCTTCAAATTAGTTAGTCCGGCGGTGGAATATCTGTTTGCTTAAACACGTCAATATGATGAATCCTTGATCGTTTCTGCGTGGATTCGTGGGAGGGAGGGGGGGGTGCGTCAGGCGTACGTACGCAGGTGGTGGTGGGGGGTAAAGTTTTGACAGATTTTTGCTGCCTACTCAATGGATGGCGCCTAGCGCAGCTGCGCTACGAACCCGGTGATCCCAGTTCGATCCCCGCTCACGGCCAACACCTTTGGAAGAATATCTCAACTGGTTCTGGGCCTCCCCTAAGTCGACTCAGCCTCAAATGAGTACCTGGTGCGATGTGCGCATGAATCGCCACTGGGGAGACAAAGGCGGCCGAGCGTGGTGGTGCTGGCCACCCACCCCCTCGCGTGCCGTGCCGGCCTTCATCGGGTGCTGCTGCTCGCTATCAGCACTTGCCCTGACAGGATGTCGAGGCTACACGGGGGATTCATGTTCATAGGCTTTCAGTCAAGATCTATACAGGGGATCTTTGTTTTGTGGGGGGTTGTGGGTGTGGCCAAGGGTGGGGAGGTTGTGGGTGGGTGGGGGGGTGTGAGTGTGGCCAAGGGTGGGGGGGGGGGTTGTGGGTGGGTTGTGGGTGGGGGGGTTGTGGGGGGGTTGTGGGTGGGTATGTTGTGGGTGGGTAGGTTGTGGGTGGGGGGGTTGTGGGTGGGTATGTTGTGGGTGGGTAAGTTGTGGGTGGGTATGTTGTGGGTGGGTAGGTTGTGGGTGGGTATGTTGTGGGTGGGTATGTTGTGGGTGGGTAGGTTGTGGGTGGGGGTGTTGTGGGGGGGGGGGTTGTGGGTGGGGGTGTTGTGGGTGGGGGGGTTGTGGGTGGGTAGGTTGTGGGTGGGTTGTGGGTGTGTGGGTGGGGGGGTTGTGGGTGGGGGGGTTGTGGGTGGGGGGGTTGTGGGTGGTGGTGTTGTGGGGGGGGTTGTGGGTAGGTAGGTTGTGGGTGGGGGTGTTGTGGGGGGCGGTTGTGGGTGGGGGGGTTGTTGGTGGGTGGGTTGTGGGTGGGGGGTGTCGTGGGTGGGGGGGTCGTGGGTGGGGGGGTCGTGGGTGGGTAGGTTGTGGGTGGGTAGGTTGTGGGTGGGGGGTGTTGTGGGTGGAGGGGGTGTGGCACCATGGGCCCGCCCCCACTCCCCCTTTGAACCTCGGTCGCGTCATCAAGGCGGAAAAAGTGCGGGAGAATTCGAGAGGCGTGCGAGGCGAGCGGGGCTGAGGTAACGATGAGGTGGGGCGCGGTGCAGTCGTAGTACTTGCGAGGGGACATTAACAAACGATGAGGTGAGGGGAGATCGTGACGAGGTGAGTGAGGGAGACACGGCGGCCGTGGGAGGGGAGGGGGAGGCTGTTAGCGAGCGCCTGTTGTAGGCCCGGGCCCGCGGGTGCCTTTTTACGATGGTCCGCGGTTTGTTGGTACCCAGATAAACCCCGCGCGCCCGGCCGTCTTTGTCTCCCCGGGGCCGATGTTCGCGGCTTCTTTTTGCCAACAACGCCAGCTGATAGCGCTCGTTGTTAAGGCCCAGTCTTCCTCGGCGGGAGGCTTTCGAGGGAGGGATACGTTTCTGTGCCGCTTTGCCACCGATGTTAGCCCCTGTCGGGAGTTTGCTGTGGCGGTGTTATGCGGCGGACACGTTTCGACGAAGCTAACCCCTCCGCGTAGCCTGTAACAGACTGTTAGGGGCACCAGTGGTGTTAACGAGCAAGCAACCTGTGAAGGCGGCGGTGGATCGCGCCAACACGCACATCCGCCTTTGTCTTCCCGCACCAGCTACTCTTGACGGCGCCAAGTGTGTGAGCAAGAATGACATTTACAGTACCTGACTACTCGCTTAAGGCCGAGTCGACCTAGGGGAAGAGACCCAGGCCCGCCAGGTTCATTAAGTCGAACTCGGGTCGCCGGGTTCGTAGCGCAGTGCGCGCTAACCGCTGCGCCACCGCTCCCGACATCGACAATGCGAGACAAAGATTCCCCGTGTAGCCTTCACAGGCTGTAGGGGCAAGTGCTATTAGCGGCACTTGCCCCTACAGCAGCACCTGTGAAGGCGATGTTTACACACCGCACAAGGGACTCAGTTAGGGCTGAGCCGACCTAGGGGAGGCCCAGGACCGGCTTGCCGTGAGCGGGACTCGAACTCGGGTGGATGGGTTCTGGACGGTTTTGCTTTTCGTGTAACTATTCTATACCCTTGCCTGTGGTAGCAATACGTGGCCTGCTGGCCACGACGAGAGGGCTTCTTCAAAAGAGAGTTTGTGTAGTTTTTAAAACTAAAGTTTTTATTTAATCAGGTAAAGCCCACTGAGCTATACAGTATAACGCTTTATTAAAAAGCGACCTGACCACAAATGATAGCTCAACGAAGTGGATTGTCATCACGTGGAAATGTATAGCAGCCAAAAAAACGCGTGGTGTTCATTCTAAATGTGGAGGGGGAAAAAACGGAGAACGCAGAGAAAATTCCACGCGATCACGGGGAGAGAGACGCTACAAACTCCAACTATACAGCAGCAGGCGTCAGGGTAGGGATCGACCCCACGACCTCCTGTACACCAGGTGAGGTAGTAACCAGGCAAGGTATGTAACGTCTTGTCACAGCGGCGCCCTGTGGTGTTCCTCCTTCGTTGAAGGAGCGCAGACCACCAGTGGGGTTTACGATCCGAGCCACAGTTTGGGCTGCATGGACACAGGCGCACTTCTTGTGGGTATTGTCTTTAATTGTCCATTCCTGTAGGAGATGTGCACATCGGTGTGCTGCTGTTGATGTTCGGGCGCTGTTGATGGTTCCACCACCACCGGGTGTCTTGAAGGGATGTCGGGAGGCAGGAGGGGTGTGCGTTGTTGTGGGAGTCTTGTCGCGTAATCGACTGCGTTGTAAGTGCACTTGAAGAGCCTTTATTAAGTAATCGTTATTCGGATTGGATAAAAAGCGCGCACAAAACTATATTATATGCGCGTGAAATACAATTACAAAAGTTGTAAGGCGCTATTTGGTTCTTTCGGTAAAGTCACGTAGGTAGAAAAATTAAACAAAATAAAAAAAAATCGTCAGCAGTTCTCTTTTTTCCGCCTGAGGACGACCGCTTGTGTTGCGATTGAAACGTCGTGATATATTATTTTTTGTTTTATTTTTCTACCTACGTGACTTTACCGAAAGAACCAAAGAGTGTGGATTCCTGCAGTCACGAAAGCTTCAAATCTAAATTGTAAGGCACTGACAAAGTTATAATTTGTTATCAATGACACTGATGAGATTTTGGAAACGATAGTAGGAACTTTGACTTAAAACTTTCGTGACTGCAGGAATTCATATTCTATGGTTCTTTCAGTAAAGTGACTTTACCGAAAGAACCATAGAATATAGTATGAACGATGTATAAACCACACCAACACTTCCCAGTCTGCATGAGAGGACACTCCCGAAATTGAGGTACACCCCCAACTTGAGGTTAATTCAAAAATATAAAACGTTTCCAGAAAATATACGGCGTCCCGGGAAAGTGGGAAACAAAGTTGTGAAATATAAAATTACAATCTGGTAACTATAGTTAAATACTGCAGTTGTAGAAATGGCTCTGTAGTGGCAAATCCACTTGTCAAACTACAGCAACCTAATTATCTTTTAACTATAACAGGAACAACAGTATGAAAGGGTGAAGAACCTTTTGGAACGACCTTTTTTCCTCCCTTAACATCGTAAATCTTCCTTCAAAAAATATCCTGAAGCAGAAGATTAGTGCTGGATACAGACACATTTACAAATGTGATTTGTAACTGTCAGCCTTAACCCCCGTGTATCGACAGTTAAATTTTAACGTGCAATTTTATTGAGGGACCGTTTTTTAACTAATTTATTTTACCAGGTAAGGCCCACTGAACTATACAGATCTTTTTCAGAAGTGACCTGGCTATTTACTACTATAATGAGCCAAGAATAATCTCGATTTGAAGCTTTCGTGACTGCAGGAATCCATGCTCTGGTTCTTTCGGTAAAGTCACGTAGATAGAAAAAATTATAAAAGAACACGACGTTTCGGTCGCAACACAAGCCTCCGTCATCAGGTGAGAAAGGTGACTTTACAAACCCTCCCCCTCCCGTGCCGATATAAAGCCACAACAGCAGATCATTATTTCTCACCTGAAGAGCCAAGAATGTCTGTGTGCCCTGCCCCCCTCATTAATAATTATAAACAGGTGACGTCTTCCACATGGACCCCGCCATTAATAATCATGAGCGGGTGACGTCACTCCACATGAAGAACCCCCCCCCCGCTCATTAATAATCATGAGCAGGTGACGTCAATCCAAATCGAACAGCCCCTCATTAATAATCATGAAGAGGTGATGTCTTCCAAATGGACACCCCCCCCCCATTATTAATAATTAGTGGGTGACGTCACTCTACATGGGGGGGGGGGCGAGGCGCCTCCTCCCCCCTCGGCATCAACTTACAACCCTCACTACAAAGGCAGAACCCTCACGTCACGTGATCTCTGTAACCCTGTTGAGACAGAAGTAATAAGGACGTCTTGATGAACAAGGGATTATGACCTTTTAATGAAATAAGTCTGTGTCACCGCGGCCTTACAAATTGCTCAGGAATTGATGCAATGTATATCACGTCGCCGTCTGCTTTTCGCTTGCAAGTTTCAGATTTACTGAAATACACCCGTCCCTGGACGGGCAAAAGGCTAGAATGTGTGTTGTCCCGTGCGTGACGTCACTCCACCTGCCGTACCCCTCCGCAATAACCATTAGCGGGTGACGTCACTCCACATGGGGCACCCCCTCATTAATAATCATGAGCGGATGACGTCACTCCACATGGAGCTTCCCCCCCTCATCAATAATCATGAGCTGATGGCGTCACTCATGTGGACCCCGCCCCCACCCCCTCCTTAATAATCATGAGCGGGTCATTTTTTTCGATTGAATATTTCGGATTAACTGCAATACACCCGTCCTTAGACGGGCTATCGGCTAGTCAAAATGATAGCTCAATGAAGTGGCTTATCATGTGAACATTTGTAGCAGCCAAATACTCTAAACGCGTGTTTCTAAATGTGGAGGGAAAAACCAGAGGACCCGGAGAAAAATCCACGTGACCACAGGGAGAATATGCAAACTCCATATACAACAGGCGTCAGGGTCGGGATCGAATCCACCACGTCCTGTATACCAGCGAGGTAGTTAACATCTCGCCACTGCGGTGTGGTCTGGGACTGTTTTTGCTGTTGTTTTGCTACCTTGCCCAAGCCTGGGAATTAGTGTACTTATGCAATTTGAACTGATATACACGATACAGTTTACGTATTTATTTTAGTGATTTGCTTACCTTTGCTATACTTTGCACATTTCTGAACCGCCCCTACTGGACATCTGTAAATAAAGAGCTTCGTAGCTTATTGGATTTCTCCAAGATAAATAAAGATTCTGATTCTGAAGATTTTAAAAAATCTGGTCACGCAGTACTGTAGCAGATCATAAGAAGCTCCCCGCGACTGATCCGGAGAATATGGTAACAGATGGTAATTTTGCTCCTCAGCCAAATAACGTCGTTATATCTGCTGGTCGGAATTCCTTTACCGCTAAATGTATTATTCTCACGCTCGCCGGTGCGCGTGGTGGAACGCAGCTGAGCCGGCACCATAAATCAACCGCTCGCGGAGCCGTGGCGCGGAACAGAGGGCTATTAGCTCACGGCGAAAATTGCGCCGGTCTGACGGTGACGGCGGTTTCTGTGGCAGTGGCTGCTCCTGCAGTGGTGGTGGTGGTGGCTGCGGTGGTGGTGGCGGCGGCGGCGGCGGCCCGCAGGTAATGAATAAGAAGCACACCGCACACCGTGTGACAGTACGTTGGGCCGCACGCTCCAAAACTCTGGAAACTCAATTTCAAGTTTGGGTGGACGGATTTCAAACGGCACGCTCCGTCGCGCACCTGGGGACAAATTGGACGGGCCCGTGCCGTGCTGGTGGACACAGCTGGCATGCGCTGGATTGAGGTGGTCTGCGTGGGAGACCTAGACTGCTGGGGATGTCCTCTGGCTCACCGTGAAAACGCCAAGAGCGACGTAGTTTGTGGTCGCGACGTTTTCTCATTTTTAAGATTCATCCGAAGTATCTGAAAATTCCCGTCGCGTCCTATTTTTGGATAAATCCGAGACGCATTTTGTTTTTCGGATCATCCAAAATGTTATGCCCAATTTTAGAGTTTTAAGATTATTAAAAAATATCAGCATTTATTTTCAGATGTATCAAACATTTCCAAAGCATTGGACTATATTTTGTATAAATATAGTCAAATCACAAGACGTGATTGGACTATTTAGCTAGTTCACAATGTTCGCAATTATAATTCCACAATTAATATTTCTAACAATTAAAATGATCAAACGACGTACGCGAACAATGAAAGTTATTCAAATGTAATACAGTGTACATTTAAGTATAAAAATCAAATCCGAAATTGTCCTTAACAATCTGGAAACCCCAAAATGGGTAACGTTTAAATGCAAACCTCATGCTGGGTTTGAAGGAGCGTGGCGACCCGTCGATCCTTCAATTCGTATGGATTCTCTGTTTAAATTCATATTATTAATTTAATAGCGTGCAATTACGCCGGCGTGTTTGATTAATTTGGGCAGCGGCAGGTGCTCACGTTTTGACGTGCAGTTACTCAATTTGCGCGCATGATCAAATCAGGAGAACGCTCAATACCGTTTGATCTCGGCATACGGCAGCGGGGGACGGAGCTTGGATGGCGCTCTAATGGGTGACCACCGTGCAAAAGAGCAGTGGGTGTTAACGGCTGCTGGGATGTTTGGTCGGCCCGAGAAGGCACGGCAGAGAAACGCGTCGTACTGTGCTCGTATGTTTCTTTCCGATTCTGCACGGCGTCGGGTCGTAAACGCGGACTCCACACTGCGAGCCCTGGCAGAAGGGTGCATCAACCCCTTCGCGTTCGAGAGCTTGCCCGTGGAAGTGGAAATCAGAGCTACTTCCAAGTGATCACTTGCCCATATAGTAGAGGGCAGCACTTTCCCAACCGCTCTGCTGCCTCGAAGTACTTACTCTTCGTCGTCCGCATGACAGTCATACTAAATACTTTTCATATCTAGAGATGTAATTTACATAAATTAAGTTAGGAAGCAACTTTAGTCATCGATTACCATGAGTTAACAGCGCAGTTATTAATTAATGGAGCACCACAGTGGCGAGATGTTAACTACCTCGCCTGGTATGCAGGAGTTCGTGGGTTCGATCTTGACCCTGGTATCTGAATATTTGGAGTTTGTATGTCTCTCCCCTTGGTCGCGTGGATTTTTCTCCCTTTCCTCCGGTTTTTCCCCTCTATTTAGAATCAACATGCGTTTAGAGTATTTGGCTGCTATACATTTCCACATGATAAGCCACTGTTGAGCTACCATTTGTGGCCGGGTTGCTTCTGAAAAATAGCCACACAGCTCACGGGGCCTCGTCTAGTAAAATAAAAATGGTTGCAATAGTTTAATAGCCTGTTGAAAAATCAAGCACTACCCAGGGTTAAAATCCTGCGTTGCTTCCAAGATGATCTAACAAGATGGGGCACAGCATTCTGGGTGATTTGGTCATACGCTCTTGTTGAAATGATCACCATCATCAGCCATAATCAATCCACTGCTGGAAGCAATGCCGAGCTGTCACCAACCCCTCTCCTTCCCGTTTGTCGGAATATACAGCAATTGGGTAAAAGCCAATTCTTAAATTTTAATTAAGTCGTGCCTATTTTTTTCTACTTCAGCTTCATTAGTGGGTGGAAGTGGGGCCGTGATGCTGAGGACTCACCGCTGGTGGTCCTTCTACTTCCCCCCCCCCCTCCCCAGCACTGCTACCGACAGGGCCCGCCATGGAGGAGCGAGCGAGGGCAGCGTGGGAGCGGGAAGCGGCGGCGCTGAGGAGCGAGATCGCGAGGCTGGAACGCGAGGGCCGAGAGAACGACGCGGGGCAGGGGGACGCCGACTCCGATCAGCGAGCCGCCCTCACGCGTGCCATGTGAGGCCAACTCGCGCACACTCACGCGCTCACACGCACAAACGCGCGCACACGGAGACAAAGATCCCCCGTATAGCCTCAACAGACTGTTGTGACAAGCGTTGTTAGCGAGTAGCGTCTATGAAGTCCGGCACGGCAGACGAGAGGGTGTGTGGCCAGCACCACGCCCGGCTGCCCTTGTTTCTCTCGTAGCGATGTTTTCACATTGCACGAGGTACTTATTTGATGCTGAGTCTACCTAGGGGAGGCCCAGGACCGGTTCAGATATTTGTCACTGGTAGTTGGCCGTGAGAGGGAATCCAACTCGGGTTGCCGGGTTCGTGGTGCAGCGCGACTAACCGCTGCGCCACTGACACGTGCACACACTTGCACATACACAGGCTGTTGGGGTGGTAAGTGCTGTGAGCCATCACCTATGAAGGCCAACGCAGCACATATGGGGATGGTGTGGTGAGAACCACGCCCGGCCGCCTTTGTCTTCGCAGAGATTATGTATATTGACTCGAAACCAGTACTCATTTATGACCCTGATGCCTGTTGTATATTTGGAGTGTGCGTGTCTCTCTCCTCGTGGTCATGTTCATTTTTCTCCCGGGTCCTCCGGTTTTTCCCTCCACATTTAGAATCAACGTGCGTTTAGAGTACTTTGCTGCTATAAATGTCCACGCGATAAGCCGCTTAGTTGAGTTATCATTTGTGGCCAGGCCGCTTCTGAAAAAGAGCTCCTTAGCTCAGTGGGCCTTGTTACCTGGTCTCAGTCTGTTGAGGCTCTACAGGGTATGTTTGTAATTCACCTGACTTCATAACCACGCTCTTAATTACTCGAGAGCATTTTGCAAGCCACTCATGGCATGGCGAGCGATGTACGAAAATGACGACGCACGTAATGAGGCGCGTGCAGGTGGGCGTATGGCGTGTCACATCCCCTTGGCCCGAAAAGGCTTTTATCCATTTTGCTTTATCGGGGTTTTTTTAGTGCCATGTTTTGGGGCTGCCCGTACATAAATATAGCCGGTTTTTCTCTCTCGAGTAAGTCGCCTAGTAGCAAAAAAAATCTAAATACTGAAATTACATTCATGTTGGACTATGTTATGGGAGTCATCGTGGCCACGTGTTACGGAGATTCGGATGGAACGGTTGCATCAGAACGTGTTCCAAAACAGGACCTCGCTGATGAGGTTGGTTATATTCCCCCCATCACCGTTTTAATTTCCATCTTCTTCCTAATGTAGCGTCTTGACTTGGTTGGGGGGGGGGGGGGGATGGTGGGGCCCTCTCCCCCAACCTTTTACCTCCCCTCCTTTTACATGTTTCCAGTTGCCATCAGGACTGTCCTACCGTGAATTGTGAAGCCTCTGTTGTGTGAGCCGCGCGGCGTGCTGTAATTGGGGCTCATCGCGGTTTGTTTTTACAATAAAAAAAAATATTCCCTCTTAACCTCGGCAAAAACAAATATTACCTCTTAACATCGGCAAAAATTTGCGTAACTTTTACCGCATAATTTTTGTTTGCCTGTCGCGCGTTTTTCTTCAGCCCAGCCGTGCATGTCACACACGACGTTGACGACGTTGTTGATGACGATCGCCGTTACGCCGCAGGGAGGTGCTGACGCGGCAATCTGGCCCCGGGGAGCGGTGGGATGAGGAGAAGCAGCAAGGCCCCACCATGGAGACTCGGCATTCCTGGTTGGAGTCCCGGTTGGAGTTCTTGAGCGAGTTGACCGGGATTCACTTTCACAACTACACCTGGCGCAAGGACACGGGTAGCGTACGCAGACGTGTGCGGTGCACGTGCGCTCGCACGAACGCACCCATGCATATGCGCGCACACGCGTGCTGCAAACCAAAAACGTGCTCTGATAGTATATACATTGTCTTTGAAACTGATTGGTCCACACCAGAGACAGCTTTCTTTAGAGCCTTGTCTCAACAGTGTTAGACCAGAGGATGCCAAAAGGCGAACAGTACAAAGACAATGCCACTATCAGGACATTGAGAGCATGTTCACCACAAGTATATGTGGTTAATGCGGACATGATTCCTTGCAAAAGGTTTCAGTTTGGTGTTGTAACGTCTTAACACCTGTTTTATTGCCAGAAAGGGTTAAACCTTTTCTTATGTTTGGATACTGGCAAGGGAGGTCCCATGAACTTGTAATTAATTGGCATGTTTTGTTTATGTGACAAGCCTTACCAATTGGCTCTGTCGAGTGGTGGCGGATTTAACGACACATTTATATTTACGCGATCTAACCCAAAAAAACCTCATCGTTATGAAGTGTGGCCACGGGCCGTGTTGAATGAAGTCGCGATTGCTGCGAAAGGAAGTCGTGGCCCCGGCTCCCGCTGCCCCTGGTAACTGCTCACCGTGACCGTGTAGCCGTGTCGCTGGTGTATGGTGCAGGTGTGCAGGGCGCTGTGGGGAGACACCTGTTCTCCGGAGAGTGCTTCTCCTTTTCTTTCCAGCTGGAGTTCGAACTCAACGAAACCACGGTTAGTTCCACAGAGCCATGCCAATCGCACCTCCCATTAGCACGGTTGGCTTCGAACGGTGCAAAAGAAGTTCAAACATACAGACATAAAGGTGTTGCACGTACAGAAATTATTATGGTGGTGTTGCTCGTGATGCTGGTGCTACCATCGATTGTGGTAGTGATGCTTCTTGTATATGCTGCCATTGCTGGGATGCGGATGCTGGTGATACTACTGCTATGGTGCTGTTGCTGCTGCCGTTGCTGGGATGTTGCTAGTGGTGATTTTTTTGCTTTGGTCCTGTTGCTGGGATGCAGATGCTGCTAGTGGTGATTTTACTGCTACTGTGCTGCTGTTGCTGCTGCTGCTATAGTTGTAGTGGAAGTGCAAATGCCGCGGAAATTAGTAGAACGACCAACAGAACGAGAGAAGCTCTGATTGGGCAGGCTCGCGAGCTGCCACCCCAATGAAGCCGACAACCATGCCTGCCCCCTGACCCCCCCCCCCCTTACCTTCCCGGCAGGTGGACGGGCAGACAACCGCTTCCGTGTCCCAGCTGGACGTGGCAGTAGACTCGGCCCCCGATGACCTGATCAAGTTCATAGCCAGGTGTTTGCCCAGGGGTTCAAATCCAGCTGGGTCCGTCAGGCCAGCGACCGGTGCATGCCATTTGACCGCCAACGTTGCATCTACGGGCAGACCTTGCTGTGACCGCATAGAACGCCCGACTCATTGTGGCGCTCTTTGTACCGGAGGCAATATTGCAAACAAAAATAAATCTACAAAGTGCTTACGAGTGAGAACACGCAGTGGTGAGATGTTGACTGCCTCAGTTGTTATACAGGCGATCATGGGTTCGATCCCGACTCTGACGCCTGTTGTATATTTGGAGTGTGCGTGTCTCTCTCCCCGTGGTCGCGTGGATTTTTCTCCCAGGTCCTCCGCTTTTTCCCTCAACATTTAGAATCAACGTGCGTTTAGAGTATTTGGCTGCTATAAATGTCCACACGATAAGCCACTTAGTTGAGTTATCACTTGTGGCCAGGCCGCTTCTAAAGAAGAGCTACTTAACTCAGTGGGCCTTGTTACCTTGTAAAATAAGATAAAAAGTTTAGTTTTAGTGTCAGTCTTTTGAGGCTCTACAGTGGATATTTGTCTTACCACCTGTGTTAGGGCTGAAGAGGAGAAGAGTCTGATGTTGCTGCTCAGGACCATCGTGTCGCACAGCCGCTGGTGCGCGCTCCGCCGGAAGACCTTCGCGCACTTCAAGGTGAGTCGGCTTCCTGGGGGCGAGCGGACCGCTCTCCTTCTCGGCGGGGGTTGCGGGGGGGGGGGGGGGGGTGGAGGTGGAGGTCTGGGTGCCACGAGGCGGCACCGGCAACCGGCAGCGCTCACGACCCCGTTGCACGTGGGACTCGGCAACGGCACGCGGCATCGTTACCCATCGCATGTGCTTACGATCGCTCCTGGCCCATCCACCCGGCGTCCCGTCAATCCGTATGTCCTGACTCCGTGCCGGCGCTGGAGCTATGAGATCTCCGACGCCATGAAGCCCATCCTCCAGCTTCAGCTTTGGTGGCTGTCCTGCTTCCTTACCTGGTATTTTTTTTAAAAGTCGGTTCCTAGAAATGCGGCTCCCTCGTAAATGCGTTCCCCGAATGAGCTCCGTCCCGCGAGACGCGGCAAGTGGTACGACGCTTGAATGCTGCTCGAGCGTCGTTTTGATTCGAGTGCCCTGATGTGCGTGAAGTATAGGCTTGTGCATCATTACCTGTGAAGACTTAATGTAAAGCGTATGAGAAGAGTGAGTGGTTAACGGTTGAATGCTTGTGATTAATATCATCATCATAAGGGACTTGGCCACACATGGCGGAAGTAGCCAATGATAGCTATATAGCACAGATGAGACGTATTCATGATGAAGATATGCTTTTTATATATACTTCTTTACCCAGGAAAGCCTCACTGAGTCTCAAGACTCTGTTTCAGGAGGGTCCCTGCCCAGTTTCCGCAGTCGCGGGCAATGCTGCTGCTGTGCGTGATCCAAATAGAGTAATTTGCAGTGTAATTTTTCACCATTGGGTTATTTGGCCAATACCAGTTACCACTGTGTATGTCTTTAGCTATGGTAGTCATCTTAGAGGAACCCCACGCGGAACAGGGCGGAACATAGAAACTCAACACAGAAAGGCACCCGAGTCAAAAATCTAACCTAGGGCCCTTCTTGCTGCGAGGAGCGAGCGTGACTTCCACGCCGCCCTGCTAGCAGTGCGTGCCACCCTTTGCCACCCTGCCAACAACGGTACATAGAAGCATCATTATCTTTCATCCCTTCGGAGCTGGTGGAGTCATATTGGGACCGTGTGCAAGACAAAGATCCCCCCATATAGCCTTATCACACTGTTGGGGAAAATGCTCTTAGCGAGCACCGAGGAAGGCACAGGGGGTGGCCAACACCACGCCCAGCCGCCTTTGTCTCTATCGTGGCAATATTTACACACCGCACCAGATACTCATTTTAGGCCGAGTCGACCTAGGGGAGGCCCAGGACCGGTTCAGATAATCGTCAACGGTGTTGACCACGAGCGGGAATCGAACTCGGGTACATGTTCGTAGCGCAGCGCGCGCTAACCGCTACGCTGCCGCTCCCAATGGACGGTGCCGTCACCTTGGCGTGCTAAAGCATGCGGACACTTGCCTCCACCGTGCCCTCTGCCCGTCCACGACACCTTTGTGTGCGACTGCGAACGTGCCGCGCTCGTCTCCTCGTCGGCGCGTGACTCAAGTTGAGTAGCGAGTCGCTACGCTGCTGCCGCGCACGTGCCCGTGTGCTCCCCGCAAAGCCGTCTCGTAGGCCGTGAAAGCGTTCGTGAGACACTCGCACGTCCCTATTAATATTCCATTACAAACCCGCGAGATCAAGGAGGGGCGCGCACACACGTGGCTTTGATCAGCAGCTTGACTCCTTATTTGGCATTTAGTTAATAGCAGCTGCTAAAATAAATTTTTTTTTTATGTTTTTGTGCGTTGGATTATGTGTTTATCATTCTCAATAAAAAGCCAACAGACATAACCCATCTTTACGTTAAAACGTCCCTTTCATCCCCGGCGTGCGGCTAACTGCGTGGTTTAATTTCTTCGCTCCTGGCTCTCTTGCGGTTTGCTCTGCCATGGACTGCCTCGCTGCCACCACCGTCCAGCGGAATGTATTTATTAGGAAGAGAAATATAGCCCCAAAGAGAAACGGAGCCCCCGAAGAGAAACGTCGCAGTTGAGCAGCGGATACGAGAACATGGCCGAATCTTCAAAAAAGAAACTAAAAAATTTTCATAAAATATTTCACCTGGATAATCCCGTGAGATCCGACGTCTCGTTTGCAAGACGTACGTTAACACGTACGTAGCAAGCATGTCATGACGCGTGTACACACACAAACATACTTGAATACTGTAACTAAATCTCCCCTGAATGTGCCCGATCTCGCTGGAGCTTGGAGGTTCAGCAGCCTTCGGCCTGGTTAGCAGGGGTGTATAACGAGGCATCGATTAAAATCAAACTATACGCTTGCGATTACATTCATTGAATTGCGCGTGTGAGAATTAATACTTTTTTATATACCTTGTCTGTTATGAGTTCTAGTGATGCGAGCTGCAACTGGAGTCGGACAACATTGACCAAAATCGACAACATTCGATTCTTTAATTGGATCGCGCCTGTGATTCATTAGTGGATTCACAAACGATCGAATATTCAGATGCCTACTGGTGGGTAGAATGGATGGGAGGCTGCCTGGGAACACACCAGGTGTTATAGGCTTGGGCTGCAAGGTGGCCAACAGGTGGCAGCACAGCAAGTGATTCTCAAATCTATCTCTGGGGGAGCTGTGGCTGTAAGCCCCCTTTTTCATATGTGTAGTGGGTTTTCTCTGCACACCTCAGTTTCAACCGAGTCTGAGGCTTTCCTGTGTAAATTAAATTACACCGTTGTTATCGTGGCTGCCATAAGTGAACGGAAGTTGCGGACGCACACACACACGCGCGATGAGACAACCACCAGCTTTATTGCGAGAGGTACACGACGAGATTGTAACGGTGCGCTTCGATGAGCAGGGCGCACGACGTTGCTCGACGGCACGGAAGCGGGCGGCGAGAGTGAACAGACGAGCTCTCGTGAGTAATCGGAATGTGGTCGTAGGCGGATGCGACTTCACGTAAACCAAACGGGGTCTGCTTCTTCTTGTCCCCCATCGCCTCGTAAACTCGGCTCGCTTGGCGCCCGCTCCCCTACCCCCGTGGTGCAAGCGTGGACGTGGCGTGGCACATAAACAAACAAACAAACAAAATCACCGTTTCCGCTAGAATATGGTACCCTTTAAAAAAAACGCGTACGCAATTCTCTGCAGTAAAGCTGTAATGGAATGTGCAAGACAGCCCATAACTAGCGTTTGATGGATGAGGCTGCCGCGGCGCGGTTAAGGCCGCGCGGTTATGGCTGCGCGGTTGCTGCCGCGGTCATAATACCCCCGTGGTGGGTGCTCACGGCCGCAGCAGCAGCAGGAGGCAGCACCGCTGTCTTAAAGGCCGCGAAGACGACACCAGGGCGGGTTTCAAGGCGGCAGTCGCCGGCGACGGTCGGCGCGCTCACTTTCTATCGTTAACGAGGGATAAATATCGGGGCAGTGCGCGGGTTCCGCGATGCATCCCGGCCTCCCTCGGAAAGTATTTGATCCGCGGTGCACTCGTGGGCGGGGCAGCTGTCGGCGAAATGCGGTCTGCATCTTTGAACGGAGTCCTTTAGAGGAGTGCTTTTAAGTCTGCAAGGTTTTGGCAACGCTTTGATCAAAGTGGCGGGTTTCCTCGAGGGCGAGTCCTTCTAAAGGCCGCGCAATTTTCACACGAGAGTGTCGCTCGGTATGGCGCCGTCTCTCGGAGAGTTATCGTGGCGCCCTGCTACGGGCAGCGGTACTGACGTTGCCTATCAAGCCACGCACCGAGCTGGACATATCGCCACGGTGGCTAGGAGATGTTAACTACCTCGCCTGGTACGCAGGAGGTCGTGGGTTCGATGTGGACCTGACGACGCATGTTTATTTGGAGTTTGCGTATCTTTCTCTCCCTGTGGTTGTGTGGATTCTTCGGTTTTTCCCTCCACATTTGGAAACTGGCATTTGGAGTATTTAGCTGCATTCAATTTCCACGTGATAAGCTGCTTGGATGAGCTGTTATTTATGGCCAGGTCGCTTCTGAAAAACAGCTATATAGCTCAGTGGGGCCTTACCTGGTTAAAAACACAAATGTGTTTAGTTTAATAGAGCCCAATCGCAGCTCGGCAGTATCCACCGTACATGTCATTAACATGTGTAATTTCATTACATTTGTAATCTGTAACTAAGTTACACCTCCCTAAAAATAATTCGGAATTTGTATCTAAATCACAGTAAGTTAATTAGCCATGTATATCTAAATGACATTTTCTCCAGTTATGAAAAATTGGTGTGTAAATTACACAACGGAATATGCTTTGCCCATCTCTAAAACCCATTACATATACTACAGCAAACACAAATTGAAAAACATTAATACCGAAGCACAGGCAGGATTCCGTGCGTGCATCGCAAGCTTAAGAATCGTCGTTTATCTGCGTCATTGCACCTCTAGCCAATGCGTTGCAGGTAACAATTGCCAGGACTTGCCCTGGCTGGCGTGTCCTTGGGCCTACGGCCTGAGGGCCGCACGCGGCCCACTGCCTTAAGCTACGCGGCCGCAGGCGGCCTTCCGCTTCGAAAAACGGTGGCCCGCAAACGATATTTATCCGTCGCTGCGAGCGTCTATTGTATCAATCGGGTGCCAGAAGGGAATAATTTAAACTTGGAAGCAACGCTGCGTTTATAACTTCGGCTCGCTCGGCCAATTTTCTGTCGCTGCAAGGGCCTCTTGCGGTGACACAAGTGGCTTGGAGGCATGTGCATGCGTGGTTGCCCGCAAGTTGGCACAGTAGGGGGGGGCACAAGTGGTACATTATGCGAGGCATCTCAGTCAGTCAACCCACGGCTCCTGCATCTGCCCCATGACCTCCTGCCAATGCGCCTTTGACGCAAGTTATTTGATTGTCCTGTTCTTGCCCTGGCTGATGGCCTGCACCCTGCCGTGCGATTGCGCTTCGAGGGCAGCAACCGCAACAGCGGGCACGGGGGTGGTGACAGTGAACTAGGGCTGAACGATTACTCGATTTCAAATCGTAATTTGAAATGATGCGATTAGCAAATCGCAAAGGCTGCGATTTTTTTTTACTTATTGGAATTGGTTTATTATTTATTATTATAACTTTATTTAACTTAACAATTGTTCTATGTTTGATTCTTCTATTTCAATTAAAACATTTTAACAATTGTTCTATGTTTGATTGTTCTATTTCAATTCAAACATTTTAATAAATACATGTTGGAAGCAATTCAACTTATACTTTTAAGTTAGAATATATAGAACAGTTCCTATTTTGATGGTATCATGTGGTAATGCTCCATCACATGTTTTAAATCTATTACACTGAATATTGAACTGAAGTTTGACTTAAAATGTGTTTTATCGCAAATGAAATCGCAATATCTGTCAGAAAAATCGCAATTAGATATTTTCCCCAAATCGTTCAGCTCTACAGTGAACCTGGCGATATTGTGCCTGACAGACGCACTGGGTGGATGGGAGGGCTTTTCGGACACACAGGTGCAGACAAACTGTTTGTGTGCGTGCGTGTTTGTGTTGGGAGTGGACCCAGTCCCATCAGTGAGCTACAGTCGGCGAGACTGCGTTGGCTGGATCATGTAGCCTGCATGCCCAGCCACGCATGCCCAGCCACGCATGCCCAAACAGCTTCTGTTTTGGCTGGATAGAGAGAGTTAAATAGGCGTGAGCACGGGATAGAGAAGAGGTGGGCTGATGTATTTAGAGGATGTGGAGCTGAGTGGTTTTGCATATGAGTCGTACTAGCGGTGTCAAGATCAGCCTCTGGAGGAGGCTCGTCAAGGACTCTACTGGGTGGAGGAGCGACGCTCACAACAAGGAGAGTGCCGGGCAGCTAGATTGCAGATAGCACAGGTGGTGCACCTGCCAGCCATCTCAGTCGGTCAACCAATGGCACCCCTGGGTCTGTTCCGTGACCTCCTGCCAGCGAGCCTTCGACACTTCACATACCGGCCTCAAAGCGCACCTAGCCTGGTGCAAGCACTGTGGTGACATCACCGTCACTTCGCGGCAAATGATCGCTGTTGTTTTTGGGGAGCGGTGGCGGTGTGGTTATTGGAGCACAGCCCTATGAACCCCGGCCATCTGGGTTTGCTACCCGGCCGCAGGTAATATAAGTGGCGAGCGACATCTGGACTGGTCCTAGGGGCCTCCCTTTGGTCAACTCGGCCTCAAATGAATACTCGGCGCTATCTGTAAACATCAGCACCACGCTCGTAGGCTCAGCGTGGCGCTGACTACACCACCCCATCATGTGCTGTGCCGGCCTTAATAGGTGTTCTCCAACTGCAATTGTCCCTACAAGTCTGTAATGTTACATGGGCGCGATGGGGGGCGTGCACTTATGGGGTAGCGGTTAGCACACTGCGTTATGAATCCGGCGACCCGTGTTCGATTCCCGCTCGTGGCCAACACCAGTGACGATTATGTGAACCGGTCCTGGGCATCCCCTAGGAAGACTCGGCATCAAATGAGTACCTGGTGCGGTGTGTAAACATCGCCACTGTGGAGAAAAAGGCAGCTGGGCGTGGTGCTGGCCACCCACCCCCTCGTGTACCGTTCATGCATGCATAGGTGCTCGCTTAACAGCACTTGCCCCAACAGTCTGTTAAGGCTACACGAGGGGATCTTTGTCTTTGTTTGTGCACTTGTGGATGTTTGCGTATTTTCCATTGTACATCATTGGTATATAAACAGCATTTTTAAATCACCATTTTATGGATCGATTATTCTCTGTCATCTCCATCGGCTGAATGTTGTGGGTGGGGGTTTGTTTGTTTGCTCCCCCCCCCCCCCCCGCCGGCGCCACACGGTCATCGTATGAACACAAAATTGACGGCTCGCTATTAACCCGAGCGCAAGCGTTTTTTTACATCGCTGTGTTAGCAAAGCAGCGCCGGTGTCTTAAGCGTTCGTAAATAAAACCCGGGTGTGATTTTTATTATTTTTCCGCGGCAGCTTCCTGGATTAAAAGAGACGGTGCACTCTTCTGGGGGTCTGTGAGCTCATGAGGCTCGGCACCGCTCACAAACCTGGGTTCGCATCCCCTTCGGGGGGTTCCAGCGCCGCCTGCCATTAAGCTTGGGCTCTCGAGCGCAGCGAGCCCATTGGTCTCTGCCCGGTTGCCGCACTTAATTTGATAAAAAAAAATCCAGCTCTGAAAATTAAATACGGTCCGTTCCCCTACAAATGCACGTTGTTTTCGTAAAACGCGAATCGGATATGACGCGATGGTCAATTTATTTAGGGAACACATTTTTTGTGAAAAAGTGGATGCGAATTGGATGTAACGCGATCGAATGAACGGAACTCCGCCGCGCGTGTAGGAATAAGCGGTCGCACGGCTGCCTCCGGCTTACCATCACACAAGGCACTGGGATGCTTCTGGATGCTTCTAGGTGCTACCCACGGCGCCTCAGTCTGTTCGGCCTGCGTTCGCTTCTCACATGGTATCGTGGACTGTGCTTTACACCCCATATTTATATATTTATTTTTGTCCAAAACGCGGTGTTCTTCAGGAAGGGAACTGCTGCCACGTTATGAGATACAGACTGCATGTGGCTTTGATGTCATACGAAAAAAACTCACTCTTGTACGCCAAGCGGCTGGGAAAGTGCTGCCCCCTGCTGTGTCTGGTGGCCATTTCTGAAGGGATCTCAGAGGTAGCTCTGCAACATCCGCTTCCACGGGCTTTTCTCCAACATGAGAGGGGTGATGATGCACTGCCCTGCTAGCTTTCTGAAGTGGGTCCTTCATCTCATTATGCCGATAGCGGAGGGCGGAGGAGTGACACTCACAATGAGTGGAGTGCCGGGCAGCTGGGTTGCAGCGAGCACAGGTGGCGATGCACTGCCCTGCGAGCTTTCAGAAATGGGTCCTCCATCTCGTGATGCCGATAGCGCACGTTGGGATTAAACGATAGAAGAAACAGTTCTCGCACACTCGGTGCGCGCGCGGTATTGCGTGAACAGGAATCGAGTGGTCTTTTGATTCGGCGTTTTGACGAGCGTCCTCGATTACCGTTAACCCTGCGGCCACTAAGGGGTGCCACACATCATCAGGATGCAAATTGTTAATTAATTATCACGCGGTAATCGTGATAGCCCTGGGCGTGAAGCCAGTGTGGCGATCTGCGACGGGATTGTCACAGTTTGTGGTCACAGTTCATGTCGTAGAATCACCAAGGTTTTTTGTCCCTCACTCGGGAGGATTTAGGGGTTTTGCCTATATGGGATGCGGTCGCATTACATCACCGCATCCCATATCTACGGCACCTTTCGCCATTATCCAAAACTATGAAAAATAAGAATAGGCTTTACCCTTTTTGCCAGAAAAGGGGTAAAACCTATTCTTATTTTTCACCACATCTCATCTCAACCATTACGATGTCCCACTGTTGTGGTTTTTGTTGTTGAGCCTGGGGGGCAGGTGGGGGAGACTGGGATGATGACAGCTGTCTTTGTGCCGGCACACGGTGTGAACGCATCGCCGGCCTAAACGTGGGCGTGAGTCTGCCGCTAGCGGTGGGGGGTGGCGATATCGGCAAATGGTTATTTTTTTGCAGTTTAAGTTATTTTTGTGAATCGCTTTTTTTCTTAATGTCGACCGGCTCGTTCGTGTCACCTCCTTTGGGTCCCATTGGGGGTTTTTGTGCCGTTTTTTGTTCTCTCCATTTTGCCCCCTATCAGCGCATTGCCACAGCATCCTCATTCTTCACATATCGTTTCCGTAATTTGTTCGCGATGGATTCTGACGCTCGCGTTTAGCGCGAGTGCATGCACGCGTGTCATGAGCGCGAGGACCGATATTACTTGGAATCAGTTTATCGTTGCGTTTCCAGCGAGCGCGCAGCTGGGGGGGGGGGGGGGTAGTGGCGGGGGGTGGTCGCTTCACTTGGCAGGCCAAGGGCAGCCAGGCCTGCGCAGCGCTCCATACGAGCTCCACCATAATGGAGCTCGTTTCACGCATCGACCGAACGCGCGAGTCCTTCGTACGGCTGTCGTCCGCGGTGAGTCCGGGAACGTTGTCGGCCACCGACTTTGTTGTTTTTTTTTTTTACTTTACTTACGCGCGTACCGGAACCCTGTTTTAATGTACGGCGATTTCAAGTCGGCGTGGAACAGCGCGTACACCACGCAGAGCGACGGTGCCACGCCGCTTTGAGATCGCGAGGCGGAAAAACATTTGACACACGCGTGGAGGAGGATGGAGCCGGTCATGTGACCTTCGGGGGAGACCCCACGAGGGGGGGGGGCCGCTATTTGTTTAGTTTGCATTCGATTTGGAAAAGTGTGTTCTTGACTTTGAAGAATGGTCGGTGCTTCGCAAAGGATTCTCGCGAAGAAGCTTTCACGGGTTTGCAAGACTGCCCCCCCTCCTCGGTTTTTTTCTTGGACCGAGTGTTCGCAGGGGAGTTCAAAGTAACGCGGCCGTTAAAATGTAAGGGTGTAGCGAATGCTTGCCCGATTGGTTAGCTGTTAAATACCATACAGCATTTAGGAAAATTTACTCATGGTATTATGATTTATTGTTATTCTCTTTATCCCAGGAAAGCCTCGTCGAGTGTCAGGAGGGTCCTGCCGGGTGTTCGAACCAAACAAAGCGGATGACGATAGCTGTGCGTTTCCCAATTCAGTGACTTGGCGGGCAAGGTTTCCACTGCGGACGGTGACGTTGGCACACAGTGGTCGGTGACGTTGGCATACAGTGGCCAGGGGACTGCAAGGTAATGGTTGACTTTACCGGTGCGGTGTGAAACTTGACGCGGGAGTTGGTGCCATGAGCACTGGTTAACAGCTGTGTCTGCTACGCTACCCCTTTACATCACTTTGTACGTGTGTGTGTTGAACTTCTCTCGCACCGTACGTAGCCAATCACGCTAATCGGAGAGTGCGGGAGAAGGACAACAAACTAACACACACAAAGCAGTTCTAAAGAAATTAGTTTTCAATGTAGATTTTAAAAGTGCGTGGCTCCAGTGGTTTCCTAATATCGGAAGGAAGAGTGTTCCAGACAGCTGCAGAAGCGCATCTGAGAGCGCGCGATGCGGTGACTACCGCCTTTCTCAGACTTTTAGCGATTATTGGAATGATTTTGTTTTGTTTCTTTCAAAACGGACGCTTCGATTTAACCGACTTGGGCGCTCGTGCTCGCGGCGCTCGACAGGCATGGGTGGTGCGCATGGGCTGGCTCGCTGGCTGGCTCTATCCGTCTCTTTGGCTGGCTGGTGGCCTGGCTGGTGGGCTGGCTGGATGTGTAAGTGTAGCTGGTTAGTTAGCCAGAAGACTAGCTGGCTTCCAGGCTAGCGGGTTAGCAGGCTGGCTGACTAGCTATGTAAGTATATGTTCAGCTGGCTGGCTGGCTTTGTATGTCTCTTTGGCTGGTTAGCAAGCTAGCAGGCGAGCTGGCTTTGTAAGCGTCTGTTTGGTTGGCTGCAAGACTGGTTGGCTGTGTACCTGGCGGGCTAGGGGACTGGCTAACCGGCTGTCTAGTTGTCCCCGTGTAAGTGTCCGCTTGGGTTGCCGGATTACCCGGCGAGTGTAAATGCGGCCCGCGCAGGCCGCGGCGGCTATTTGCGGTAGTTGCTGCCAAAGTGGATTGCGTTGTGGTTGTGGACGCAGCGGAAGACGCTGGGTGGGACCTCCCAGTACTTGACGGGGTTGTCGTAGAGCGAGATGCCGGCATACTGGGCGCGCTTGGGGCTGAACACCGTTGGGCAGAAGTCGGTGGGCTTCACCTCCTTGATCTTGTTGCTGTGCAGGTAGACCACCTGTGCGGGATCACATGGCACGGGGGAACTAACTATAACTAATTATGACACTTTTTTATTTTACCAGATAAGGCCCACTGAGCTATGTAGCTCTTTTTCAGAAGTGAGCTGGCCTCAAATGATAGCTCAACGAAGTGGCTTATCATCACATGGAAATGTATTGCAGCCAAATACTCTAAACGCCTGATATTGATTCTACGTGCGGAGGACCCAGAGAAAAATCCACACGACCACGGGGAGAGTGAGACGTGCAAACTCCAAATATACAATAGGCATCGTCAGGGTCGGGTTCGAACCCACGACCTCCTGTATACCAGGCGAGGTAGTTAACATCTCCCAGCCATCGTGGTGCCCTGGTATGTGAGCCCCCCCGTTGCTCAATGGGTTCATAGTGGTCGTGTCGGAGCGCTGAGCCGACGCGAGACGGTACGATAGTGACCGAATCCTCGGCACGGGTGGAGGAATCGAGCGGTGCAATTGTAGTAGCGACTGGAGAGTGGTGAGGAGAGGCGACTGACTGCCGGTGAGAGAGCGACTCGGCTTGGCTTGCGTAAGTCTTTCTAATTCCGGTGCGTGTTGCATTTCTGGTGTGGTGCGTGTGTGCATTGCTTTGGTGGTCGAATGCTTTCCTGTTGGTTTATGCTGCATTAGTGGTTTATTCTGCATTTGCAGTGTGTGTTTGACGGTTTGCGTTGCCAATTTGTGTTGCGTTGGCGGTGTTGTCTGCTGGTAGTGTAATTTATTTGTATCTGTTAGTGGTGTGTTCTGTCTTTGTGGTGGTTGCGTTGCGATGGCGGTGTTGCGTTGGAATAAGTGGTGGTTGCGTTGGCGTTGGTTGCAATGGTCGTGGCGGTGGTTGCTTTGCACGCACGTTGAGGCTGCGGAGCTTGGACAGGCCCGGCGGCACGCTGACCAGGAGGTTGTTATCCAGGTGAAGCTCGCGCAGGTTGCCGCTCACGGCGAGGCTGCCATTCTGCACCTCTGTGATCTTGTTGTAGCTCAAGCCCAGTCTGAGTTGCACACGCACGCCACACGCACGCCACACGCACGCCACACGGGTCTACACGGGTCTACACGGGTCTACACGGGTGTGCACGCACAGCACATGCACGCACACGGGTGTGCACACGGGTGTACACGCGCGCACGCGGGTGTACACGCGCGCACGCGGGTGTACACGTGCGCACGCGGGTGTACGCGGGTGTACACGCACAAATATCCATCACCAATGTTGGCTTCTGATTGGAAATCGAATTCGGTTCACAAGGGTTCACGGCGCAGTGCACTAACTTCTGCGCCACGGCTCACCCCGACTTACATACGGCACAAAGACCAGTCCCTCGTATAGCCTTAACAGACTTTTGGGGCAAGTGCTGTTAGTCAGAAACTCTGAAGGTGCTCCTATGGTATAACAACGCAGTGGGTGGCCAGCACCATGCCCGGTCGCTTTTGTCTCCCTCGTGGTGATATTTTACACACCGCACCAGGTACTGGATTTGAGGCTGAGTCGACACAAGGGAGGTCCAGGACCGATTCATGCATGCACGCACACACAGAGGCAATGCAATCACACACACACACGTGATAAATGCCAATGTAACAGGACCCTCTTGAGACTCGGCGAGGCTCTCCCGGGTTGTATCACAGCATCTTTGTGGCTAAACAAAGACGATGGTGGTGGGAAATTGACCGCATGCAGTTTGAAGTGTGGGTGGAGGGGGTGGGAAGTGATGACGGTGACGGTGTTGACGATGCGCGCTCGGCTGCGTTAGGCTGCGCTTCACGTGGACGTGGCGATGTAAATGCTACGGCGCTCACCGGAAGAGGTACGGGTACCCGAAGAGGTCTTCATCCTCAATGGCAACGATCTCATTTCCCTCCAGGTGCAGCTCCAGCAGGGAGTTTGGCAGCTCTGTGGGCACAGATGAAGAGTAGACCAATGTGGCCCAGTGCAAGCCCTTCCGGACAGTTGCACAGCTTGCACCACCTTCGTCCCGGTTGCGCTGTCGACCTCGCAGCACGAGATGCGCTCGGATGCCACGCAGCTACCTTACGAGATCCCTTGAAGTGACCTCTGGTCCACACAGTAGGGGGCAGTACTCTCCCACCCCGCTCTATCACAGAGATTGATGTTCGTCACCATGACAGTCAAACTGATGTTTTCATTCTCAGAGCTGAAATTTGACCAAATTGAGTGCAAAAATCAACTTTTGCTGGGATGGAGTTTTCGTGCAGAAATTGTTGTCGCTGAGACCATCAACTCGCTGAGCTCGAGGGCACGGTTTAATTACAGGCACTCGGCGGTGCTTGCTCAGCGCTCTGACCTCTGAGACATCCGGGCCACCTCGCATCTCCTGCGGAACCCAAATAATTTTTTTCTTGTGCGGCCGACCGGGCCATTAGCCCACGCGCACGGGGGGCGCCATCGGCAGACTCCACGCGTCGTCCCGCGGCGGAAAGCCCCTCGGCACGCCGGGCACCAGATTAGAGTCTGACTTCGGGGGCCTCCTGGCAGAGCGTCCCGCGACCGGCGGTGTCGTCACGGCGACACATGGGTCGGCTTTGCAACCGCGAGCCATGCCAAGCCACCCCACCCCGCTCACCCTGCCTCTATCCTGCAGCCCCGCCCGCTCTCTGTCTCTGTGTGTTAAACAAAAGCGTGGGTTCAGCGCGCAAATGGAGCGATGGTTTTAGCTCGAGTCGCCGTGAAAAGTGGTTCGTAAGTTTCCCGGGATCGTTGGGAGGCAGCGAGGCTGTCATCCAGCAGTGGATAAGAATGCGGAACAAAAAAAATACCGAGCAAAAGCCTCAAAGTGCATTGAAGAAACGTGTAAAAAGTTTTTTTGAGGAATGCATCAAAGCTTATCATCATCATCTGCCCCTCCCGCACAACCGCCTCCCACCCCACCTCACCCACACGACCACGACCGACGCCGCTGTGCCCGTGCGGCGGCGTTGCCGGCACCTCCGCGCTCACCCTTGGGCAGCTGCGTGAGCTTGGAGTAGGAGATGCGGATGTAGGTGAGCTTGTCCAGGCCGTTGAAGGCGCCCACCTCGATGCCCGAGCTTGGTAGCGGGTTCTTGCCCAGCTCTGGCGTGGAGGAGGCGGGAACGAATCGCGCGGCAGATTAGAAGACGCTTGCCCACCCGCTGATGACGATTTACTAAACTCTCCATACTAAATTTGCATTTTACCAGGTAAGGCCCCTGTCGGCTAACGAAGCTCTTTCATAGAATGCCACAAGTGATATCTCGACGAAATGGCTTACGATGTGGAACATTTAAAGCAGCTGTCACGTGTGATGTTGATTTTAAATGTGGGGGGGAAAAACTGGAGCACCCGGAGAAAAATCTACGCGACCACAGGGAGAGACACGCAAACTCCAAATATACAGCAGGCGTCAGTGTTGGGATCGAACCCATGACCTCCTGCGTACCAGGTGAATTGGCATGAGTCTGCCAGAAGTCTGGGGGTGTGGGGGGGGGTGTGGGGGGCGATCATCGGTGCCGTGCGTAAACCCATTGCTCTAATTTGTGAGTAATTCAGACTTGGCAAAATTTTAACCATGGCACTGGTGCACAATCTGGCCACCTCATTTCAAGTGACGAAATGAACGCTCGACACGTACACTCGCAGCCAGTGTTCCGATTCGTAATTGGATGTTGGGGTTCGGCCGCGTAATGATCTGGGTCGGGGGTCTGCAACCAAAGTAACAAGAAAGAGCTATTTTTTCTGAATTCAGTAACGCTGCGCATTGTTTTTATAATGCGAAGTGGATATAACGCGATGATTAATGTATTAGGGAACACTTTTTTTTTATAACGTGGATGTAAATTGGATGTAATGCGATCGAGCGACCGGGACTATGTCGCGCGAGTAGGAATAAGCGGTTGTCACGGCTGCCTCGGTGTAGCAGCATCATCATCGTCATACGAGGAATTGGGATGCTTCTAGATGCTCCCAACACGCCTCAGTCTTTGTTCGGCCTGCGTACGCATCTCGCACGTTATCGCGGACGGTGCTTTTTACCCTATATTATAGCAGCCCTTAAAGAGCTCCATGGGACTCCGTAGCCGCAGGTTGCCGAACCCTGGTTTGGGTCATTAGGAACCCTCCACCACTCAATGCAGCTAATCTAATTAACTGTCACGCGCACAAACGTTTAACAATGCGACGGATAGTATCGTTTCACCTCATCGGCGAATCGAGTTTTGTCTGGCTTCCTGCATCGTTCCTCTGACTCTCCCGATCTTTACCTAATACGGTTGACCTCGTTTCAAGTGGAACGTCGCGTATCTAATTGCTACATTTTATTGTGAGGATCGTTATGCAACTTGCGATATTCATCTCACTCCGGCAACAATAATGAATAATAATAATAATTACCAGCCTGTTGTGAAACGCTTGACAATTCATTAGTTTGGCCGCGTCGGTTGGGCCAGGGTTCCTTAATGGCGCAGATTCGCCGCAGATCACTGCGCGGGCAAACCCCCGACAATCTACGGCGAATCCCGAGCGAACTGCGCGCACGCTTGCGATGCTCTCGCTCTCTCACCGATGACGTGGAGCTGCCCATTGTTGATGAACGTGTCTTTGGGCACGCGCTTGATTAAGTTCTCGTGGACCCGCAGCTCGATGAGCGAGGGCGGTAGCCCCGTGGGGACCTCCGTGAGGCGGTTGTGGGAGATGTAGAGCTTGTCCAGGCTCACCATGGGCGCAAACGCCTTGGGGTGTATCTTCGCTATGAGGTTGTTCACCAGGAACAGCGCCTGCAAGGGTCGCAAGGGTGATGAGTGCGTTAGCGACGCCCGTCTGTAGCGGTGGGGGGGATGAATAAATTACTAAAACTAAACTATTTTAATTTTACCAGGTAAGGCCCACTGAGCTGTGTTGCTCTTTTTCAGAAGCGACCTGACCCCAATTGATAGCTCAACAAAAGTGACTCATCGTGTGGAAGTTTATAGCAGCCAAATACTCTGAACGCTAACTCACCGAAGGACAGCCGAGTCTGGACGAAGTGCGAAGCTGCGTTGTGCGACTCGACGTGGAGGAAACCGAACAAATATTTACGTGTTTGGCACGGTGATGTGTGGCCCAATGGAAGTGCGCCCTCCCACTACTTGTTGCAGAGGTTCGATTTTCGATCCGGCAGGCCGCCCTGGTCATTACTGCCGGTATGTTAACCGTAAAATTACTCCGCGCCATCCACTTCATGGTGGACGTTAAGGCTCCCAACCTTTTGCCATTTATTAAAAATTGCACTGCGACTGACTCTGTTGAGATTACACGCAACAGCAATCATCCCCTCCACCCTCCCATCCTACTGGCAGGACCTATGCCCGTTCTCAAGCCAGCCGCCGAGTTACCTTGTGCCCACAGGGGACAGCTGGCTCTGTGGGTGCCCATTCAAAATGGTTTGAACTGAGACAGTGAGACGTAAATCGCTTAATTGTGCGTAAAGCACTGCGAGACTCCACGGCGTGAAGGAGTTCTGGCCCTCAATATCAAACCGTCGTAGTCATTATTATCCTGATTGTTCTGTTGCTGCTGCTGTTGCTGCTGCTGCTCACGTGCAGCTGGGCCAGGCCCTTGAAGTCGTCTTGCTTGATCTCTGTGATCTTGTTGCTCTGGAGGTCGACCATCCGCGCGTCCTTCGGGATGCCGGCCGGCACCGACTTGAGGCCTGGGGTCGGCGCGAAAGAGGTCGCAGGTCACGGGGGTTGGGGGGGGGGGAGTTGTGGAAGGTGTCGAGCCTGAAAGGTCTCAGCAGTAAAAACAAAAAGACTAAACTAATTTTATTTGACCAGGTAAGGCCCACTGAGCTGTGTATATATCTCTTTTTCAGAAGCAACCTGGCCACAAACGATAGCTTATGTGGATATTTTTTGTAACACATGGTGTTGATTCTAAATGTGGAAGTAAAAACCAGAGGACCCGAAGAAAAATCCACGCGACCTAGGAGAGCGTGAGACACAAACTCCAAATATACAGTAGGCATCAGCGTCGGGATTGAACCCACGACCTCCTGTATACCAGGCGAGGTGGTTGACAGGACAAAAGGAATTCCAGACAGTCGGAGCAGCATCAGAGGAAGAATGACTTCCCACGGAGCGGAACATCGTATTCGAATTTTTTTCACTCGCATTTATTGAAAGTATTCTTTGGGTCTTTCGGTAAATTCACGTTGATAGGTTCCAAGAAAATAACAAAAAATTATGACGTTTCGATTGTAACGCAAGCAGGCGTCATCGGGAAGACTTTTCCCGATGACGACCGCTTGCGTGGCGATCGAAACGTCGTAGTTTTTTTACATTTTCTTTGAACCTATCTACGTGGACTTTACCGAAAGACCCAAAGAATACGAATTCCTGCAGTCACGACAGCTTTAAGTCAAAGTTGATTGAAAGTTTTTCGAAAAATGCAAGCGATTAGGCGGATGAGGAGCGGCGAGGACACCGACTGGGGTGGGGGGGGGGGCGCGAACGAGAATTCCGTCGCGCTCACCAAGATCGGAGCACTGCACCACACGCAGGCTGCACTGGCAACCGAAGGGGCACCCCACGGAGGGGGGCTGAGGGGGCGCCACGGGGGAGGTCGGTGGTTTGGGCGCCGCCGGTGGTTTGGGCGCCGCCGGTGGTTTGGGCGCCACCGGCGGACGTATCCCGGGGTAGCCCGAGCCCCCGGGCAAATACCCCGAGTCTGTGCCATCCCCAGAGAGTTCCAGGGCCTCATCCGCCGCCGCGAAATCCAGAAAGAATTGCGGTTGGCGCGGCCGGCGCGGCACCGCCGGGCTGCTCCAGCGCTGCTGCTGCTGCCGCCGCCCCGCGCCGGTGCTCAAGGCCGCCGTGGCCGCGAGGGTGAGGAGGAACGCGGCCGTCAACAGCCACGCGGGGCCCGCTCGCGCTGCAACCATGTTGGGGGGGGCGAAGGTCCTCGACGGTCTGAGGGAGGGGGAGGGGCACGGCAGGGCGGCGCAGAGCCGCGAGTTCGCATCGTCATCTGGTTTTACTTTTGTTTTATTTTCCTCTTATTCTGGTTGACGACAATCTGCGGATCTCCCATGTTAGGATAGCGGGATGTAACTGGAGAGAAAGAGAGAGGAGAGACGCACAGAGAGACTATCCGAGCGGCCCCGACCACAATGGCGCTTGGAAGCAGCAGCTGCATTATTATCAGGTGCTTCATTCTTGGAGATGGAATGCTGCGGTGCTGGAGTAGGGGGGAGGGGCCAGGGGGAGGGGGGCTCGAAACCCCCCCCTCGCTCCCCCCCCTCACCCTCGGAGTGCCCCCTGCATGAGCGACCTCGCTGGCCGAAAAGCCATTCGTGTGTGATGCGAGCGAGCGTAATTTGTGCAGTCGATTATTAAGCTGCTGAGCTATTTTAATTGGATCTCCCGGGAGGTGCGAGTGGATGTGCGTGTCTGTGCGTGCGCGCGTGTGTATGTGAATGTGGCGAGCGGTAGTGTAGCTTTTAGCGTGCTGCGCTACGAACTCGGCAAGATCGAGTTCAATTCCTATTCATGGCCAACACCAGTGACTATTAAATTAACCGGTCCTGGACCCCCCCTCCCCCTAGGTCGACTCGGCCTCAAATGAGTACCTGGTGCGGTGTGTAAACAATCCCCCACTGGGGAGACAAAGACGGCCAGGCATAGTGGTGCTGGCCACCCACCACCTTGTGTGCCATGCCGGCCTTCATAGATGCTACTTGCTAAGAGCACTTGCCCCAACATTCTGTTAAGGCTACACGGGGGGTCTTTGTGCATGCGTGCGCGTGTCCTCGCTGCTCCCGCATGGTTGTGCTCTGAGTGTTGGAGCCAAGAGGCGCGACACAGCACGCGTCTGCCTCTACGTGCCGCAGCCTGCCAGCTATCCTGAACCACGCTCACCCCCCCTCACCCCCCCTCACCCCACTCACCCCGCTTGCTCAGCTCACCCAGTTCACCTCGCTCACTCAGCTCACTCAGCTCGCCCTGTTCAGCTCGCTCACCCCACTCACTCCATTCACCCTGCTCACCCCATTCAGCCCGCTCACCTTGTTTTATCCCATTCACCTTGGTAACCCCACTCCCCTGCTCACTCCGCTCACCCCGTGTATCTCACTTACCCCGCTCACCTCTCTCACCTTTCTCGCTCCACTCACCTCGCTTAGCCCTACTTAACCTCATCCTGCTCACCTCACTCACCTCGCTCACCTTGCTCACCCCACTCACCTTACCCTGGGACCCTGATTCCAGCTCACCACACTCAACAACTTGGTGTGTGTGTTGGTATATCTGTGTGTGGGTGGGGATGGGTGCTGCACTACGAACCTGGCCGCCCGAGTTCGATTCCCGCTCACGACCAACACCAGAAACGAATTTCTGAGCCAGTCGTGGGCCCCCCTAGATCGACTGGGCCTCCTCTAGCCTTTGAGTACCTAGTGTGGTGTGTAAACATCGCCACTAGGGAGGCAAAGGTGGCCGGGCATGATGGTGGCCACTCACCCCCTTCGTGTGCCCCAACAGTCGATTCAGGCTGTGGGGGGGGATCTGTGTGTGAGAGTGGGTGTGTGCGAGTGGAACAGTGGTGGAGTGGTTCACATACTGCGCTACAAATCCCGGCGATTCCGAAAACCAATGGCAAATATCTGAACCGGATTTTGGCCTCTCTCGGGTAGACTCAGCCTTAATATGATGAGCATCTCGGCGCGTAAAAAAACATCGTAAGGCAATGGACAGCTGCGCATCTTCTCCGTTCCTTAATATGCGCTCACTTAACAGGACTCAGACCCCCAACGGTCTGCTGTGGGTCTAACCGGGTATCTGTCGTCCTCCTTCGTTTGGCGTACAAATTCGAGTGTAGCCTCTCTTCTCTCCGTGCTTGTGTATTCCGTGGCATTTCCCCTCTCTGTCCCCGCTCTCTCTGCGCTGTTTGTGTTATTCCCCCGCCCCTGTCGTTCCGGCCCTTCAGCGGCGCTAGCGCTCACGAGCAGCTCCGTTGTAATCTTTGGCAGCCGACGGCGAACGTGCGCCTGGGCCGTTCAAGACGGGACTTGCCTTGCGCCGGGGAGGTTTGCATGACAGCGTCGAGCGAGAGAGCTCGCGAAGGAGGGATTTGCTCGGAGGCATGGTCTGGTTGGTGGGGTGGGGGTGGTTTTGGGGGGGGGGGCGCGAGAGCATATTTTTTCGAGCCCACCACCACCACCACTACGAGCACGGCTTTAGCACCGAGCCCCTCGCTCGCTCGGCGACCAACAGGAAGTGGGCGGATTTGCGTGCTCAAACCCGGCACGGCATTTCGATTGTAAACAAAATAAACGAGATAAAAAAAAAATTCCGGAGCTTTTCTCGCCGTTTGAGTTATGAGACCCATGCGCTGGCTCGTGCCCGCCATGTTGTGGAGCTGGCGATTCCCCAGTCGCGCCTGGGAATCCCCGTGGCTTTTGCCGATGTTGAGCGTCTCGACGCGAGAGGGTACGATTCCTGGCCACGGCCAAATGGCGGTTCGGTGGGCGTTGTCTGGAGCGGTCCTGGCACCAGTCTCTGCATCACCGATTCGCACTGACCGGCGCGGTGAAGTACGGTTGAACAACCCCCGTGACCAAAACGGCGGGGGGGGGGGGGGGGAGGCCTTTGGCCAACAGCGGATTAACAAGGTGCTGTAAATTGTTACCGTCAATAAATGGGTTGATGTCAGCCCTGCTGCAGCCACTAGGGGCGCTACCATTCACTGCAGCGCACCAATTGGCATCGCGACAACTCTGTTGAGCTGCTGGCGTCGTGCGGCGGGCGGATCGTCCGGTCGGTGCCGAATATTTTCGGCGATGTTTATTCGTCCCTCCCGTAATTTCCAGTTGTGTTTGCGTTCGGTGGTGCCCTGTTGGGTTCACATATAACTCTGGCTTCTGGGAGAAAAAAAAACTGAATAAATGGGGTCTTGTTTCTCCAGATTTGTAAGGCACATAATCTGATAAGGGTTGCAAATCTGCAGGCTTTCACTAAAGCCCTGCTTTGTTAGTATTCTCTTACCGCAAGATTCTTACCACGACATTTTTTAACTCATGCAGAGATTAGTCGGCGCGCCTCACCCCCCCTCCCTTCGAAGAACTTTAGTTTTTGGATGGGAGGTCGTGGGTTCAATCCCGACCCTGACGCCTGCTTGTATGTTTGGAGTTTGCGGTGTCTCTCTCTCTCCCCGTTGTCGCGTAGATTTTTCTCCATGTCCTCCGGTTTTTTCCCTCCACAATTAGAAACACGCGTTTAGAGTATTTGGCTGCTGTAAATGTACACGTGCTAAGCCGCTTCATTTGTCCATCATTTGTGGCCAGTTTGCTTCTGGAAAAAAGCGATATCCCTCGGTGGGCCTTACCAGGTAAAATAAAAAAAACTAGTTTCTAGTTTTTACCTAGCCGGCACTGTTGAGATGCTCTGTTTGAATCTCGGTTTGGGCCGCCCCAATCAAGTTGGAACCAGGTTCTCGAGCGCCGCAGGTTTGTGTGACGGTCTCGGTCCGATCGCCATTGACCGCGCAAACTGCTCTTTGCGTCGGTTATCCCCCCACCCCCGAATGGCGCGCCTCAAAATCCACTTGGGAATCTGTTCCCGTAACATCACTTTCTCCCGAACCGTGTTCGACACAAGGTGGTGCACTGCTAACAAGCGGAACTTAACCACCACAACCTTAATTGGCAAAACGCAAGTTTTTGCACTCTGGCGCCAAACACAGCAATTATAACGTTCTCCAGTTTCTCTGCGTCTCGGTTTTAATCACCAGCGCCTCGGGTGATGCGGGGACGCCGCCGCTGCTATCTCCTCGCTGCTGGGGGGGTGGGCACGACGGGTAGCACCTGGGGGGGTGTGCGTACGTGCAATGCATACCTGCAGACACGCGTGCCATACGTGGCGACCTCTCCCGAGTTTTAGCGACAGGCTGCCCATTTTCAAAGCGAAAATTACATCACATTTTTTTTCTACCAAAAACTTTGTCGACCCGTTTCGATCAGCTTTGCAAATCTGGTTTGCAATTAAAGGGTTCAGCCTACCTCTCGAATCGGTGTAGGTCGGCAAGTATGGCGAGCCTGCGTACCCATGCGTGTGCGTGCGGACCCGAGTCCCTCCGTGCGTGCCTGCGTGCGTACCTGCTGTACCCGTCGTCCGTTAGATGCGGTACCGGCGTACGGGTCGAGTTTTGCGAGTTTCCTCTCGGCCGCTTGCGACGTGAGAATAACACTGACAACAGCAACACCACCACCAAAACAGCGATGACAGCAAAAACAACGTCAGCGACAGCAGCAGGAGCTTACGGAGCGTTGGTGGCGGCGTGCGTCCCGCGTGCGTCTCGGCCCGTTCCCCGCGAGCGCGGTAACTCTGTGGAAATGCTCGCGCAGCGTGACGTCGCCTCTTTCCTGCCCTCGTCTACCCCTCACCCCTTCCTCGACTCCCCTCCCTCCGTCTCCCTGTACGCTCCCTCGCTTGCTTGCGTGCCACGGAGAGGGAGGCACCGGGAAAGGAGCGGCGGCAGCTGCGCGGTGCGGGTGGAAGAGGGGGGAGATACAGGGGGGGGATCTTGACGTGGGGGGGGGGCGGCTTTTGTGTGCACCGCGTAACGTGTGGACTCGACTCGTGTGGAAGAGACTCGTTCAAGAGGCCAGATGAGGTCTGCGCTTTGTGGTGTTGTCTTAAGCGTCGCGGCAGCTGCCCCACCCCCGCCCGGCGGTGCGCTCCTGTGCTGTGCTCAGAGCCAATTACGGCCTGGATCCTAATGAAGTGTTAAATTATAATTGAAGCCAGCCGAGCAAGGGGGTGGCAGGGGGGCGACGCGGTGGGGGGTGCGCGGGGGGTAACAATTGCGCTGTGATGTGTTTCTGGGTCGTGCCGGCGTGTTGCTCGTTTCGACCTTTCGCCCACGCGGGCTGGGAGAGCAAAAAAAACGTCAGAACGTCGTGCCGGACAGCCTCGCGGTAAAAAATTCGAAACGCTCACGGGAGAGCGATGCTGGGAGTGTGATCTGGTGTGAGTGTGTGTGGTGAGGGGGGTGGAGGGGGTCCGAGACCCCTGATGTCACATGACTGGAATGCCCCTCGACTGGCGGCGGAGCAGCAACGGTCGCGTCACGCTCTGCGCCACGGAGGAACGCTCACTCAGCCGCTCACATGAACTCGCTCCCATGATGCACCACTCATTGCTGCCCTCTTCCACGATGCACTGCTCACTCCGCCACTCACACGGTCCCTCTCCCATGATGCACCGCTCACTGCTGCCCTCTCCCATGATGCACCGCTCACTCTGCTGCCCCTCTCCCACCGAGGAGAGTGAGGGATGAAATCCACCCTGGTGCAGGGCCTGGGGGAATTGTCGCATCGCCTGATCGCAAGAGATGGCAGCCGCTTAGAGAAGCCTTCCCCCAGCAGACGATTGATCATGGCCAATGATGATGATAATTAATCTTAATGGGCTTCCCACGAGTTTTACATCGCTGCACGACTCTCCCTCCCTCTACTTTCTATATCAGATTCTCTTTGACTTATTCACTTTCCCACCCTGGCACTCTTCTCATCATCTCTCCTCCTCTCCCTCTTTCTCTGTCCTTGCGTCCTCCTTGCTTGTGCCCCCCCCCCCATACTCTCTCTACCCAGCACACTCCCAACGTTTACCCTCTGCCCCTCCTATCTGCTCTGCACTCTCTCTGACCCTCCACACCACCCCTCCTCTCCCTACATCACATCCACTCTCTAAACTATTTTCCAGGAGATAATCATTGTTTATGTGCGCCTGGAGACTGTCGTCCTGTTTACACAAACCGGCCTGACCACGGCACCCTGAAGGCTGAGGGGCTCTCTTGTTTCAGTTTCCTGTGCGGCACGTTCGTTCGTTTGCGAGCGCGCTGCGCTCTACGATCCGCGTTCAGTTCCCGTGGACGGCTGATACCGGTGACGATTGTCTGAACTGGTTGCGGGTCTTCACCAGTTTTACTCTGCCTTAAATGAGCACCTGCTGCGCTGTGCCTATACATCAGCACTGGGGAGACAAAGGCGGCCGGGCGTGGTGTTGGCCACCCACCCCGTCGTGTGCTGTGCCAGCCTTCATAGGTGCTGGCTAACAGCACTTTCCCCAACAGTCTGTTAAGGCTGTATGGGGGGTAACTACTCTTTGGTTATTCTTGGTTCTTTCGGTAAAGTCACGTAGAAGGGAAACAAACAAAAATAACCGCCACTTTTTTCAAAATTTCTTGCTGTGGTTTTCACACCTGATGATGATTGTTTGTGTTGCAGTCGAAACGTCGTGAGAATTTTATTGTTTTATATTTTTATTATTTTATTGTTTCCCTTCTACATGACTTTACCGAAAGAACCAAGAATATGAATGCCTGCAGTCACGAAAGCTTTAAATCAAAATTTACTCTTTGGTTCTTTCGGTAAAGTTACGTGACTTTACCGACAGAACCAAAGAGTAATTCCGGCAGTCACGAAAGCTTCGAATCTAGTTTCATACGGGGGGGGTCTTTGTCTTTTTGGTGTGTCTGTGTATACGGTTTTGTATGTGCTTGTGTATACGGTCTGTGTGTGTACATGGCTGAGTTTGTGCTCCTATATATGGAAGTGTGTATTTTTGTGTACATGCCTGTGTATGTGCTCGCGTACTGAAGTGACGTTCCGAGCGGATTGCTTGCGTTCACATGAACGAGTGTGTTTATGTAACGAGCAAACGAGCGCACGTGTGGTGAGTGTGCGTGGAGTTGACACCCCTGCGGGGGATCTTGTCAACTCTCCAACTCCGCTCAAGCTCTCCCGCTAACTCCCAGGGTGCTCCGCCCGACTCCCCGTTCCGTCGTCCAGCGCACCGTGCCAGGTTTTCTCCAGCTCGCCGCCCCCCCCCCCCGCCCCCACTACGCTTGTCAATTAGATTCTAATCACCACTAGCCGTGAGCCGAACAGCAGTGACTTAATTAATTGTGTGTGACACGGGGGGGAGGGGTTGGAGTCACCCCTCCACCGCCCCCACAAGCGATTTGATTAATTGTTGCGTCACGGTTTTATTCGAGAATCAATTCCTTTCAAATTCCGTTCTGGTGAAAGGTAGCGCCCCGAGTGGCTGCAGGGAGTGACGTGAACCCATTAAATATTCATCTCCATAATAGAGGTTTTTGGGTTGGATAACATAAAAATAATTGTGGTCGTTTAACCCGCCACCGCCCAACATAGCCAATGAGTAAGGTTTGTCACGTAAACAAAACATGCCAATTAGTTACTAGTTGTGGGTTTACTCTCCAACACAGCCATGTGCTGTGCTGGAGAGTAAACCCACAACATTTATAATTCGAGTACGACGTTTCGCCAGTAATTACAGCAACCATCCTCATCGGGCGACAGCTCGAATTTAACCAGAAACTAATTTGCACGTTTTTTTTACGTGACAAACCTTAAATATTGGCTGTGGCGGGTGGTGGCGGGTTTAACGAAACATTTATATCTACTAGATCTAACTCCAAAAAACCATGAAAACCTCCTAAGTGTTAATAATCATCTATTTGTTTATCCACTGTTGGATGAAGGCAGTGCCTTGTCGGTCACGGGCGGGGGGTTGTTTGACCAAACCGTGCTGGGGAAGCGCCAACGTGAGGGGGTGGTTGGGGGCTGCTCCGCTTGAGTCCCCACCACCTGCTGGAGGGATTGTCACCCTCGCAACCCGAGGCACCGCTGACGTCGCCGGCGATGGCGTGCCCGTCGGTGAAGCCAGAGGGGGGCACAGAAGCCGGGAAGAGCAGGGAGATCGCTCGCCACTGAACGTTAGGCGTGCCGTGAACCGAATTCTGGTTGGGTGCACTCGCTCGCGTGCACACACACACACACCCGCGCGCCCGTGCTCATTAAAATGTTTTTTTCCATGCAAATGGAGAATTGAAAACCCCTCCGGCAGTGCGCGGCGACCGTGGTCGCCAATCCGGGGCAGAGCTGTGGAACGCATCGCGTCTCGACGCCTGGTGCGCGGAGGAGGAGGAGGAGGAGGAGGGAAGAGGGAGGGAGGGAAGGAGGGAAGGGGGAAGGGAGGTGCAGGGATGCTCCTTGACGCAATTATCTGGCTTGAGCACCTCGGCGTAGAATCGTAGCCATTGCTATCGATCAACATCAGCCGTACCAAGAAGATGAAGAAGGCAGAAATCACACTGAGACCCGTAACCTCGCACTGAGACCCGTAACCTCGCGCTGAGATCCCTAACCTCACACTGAGACCTGTAACCTCACACTGAGACCCGTAACCTCACACTGAGACCTGTAACCTCGCACTGAGACCTGTAACCTCACACTGAGACCCGTAACCTCACACTGAGACCCGTAACCTCACACTGAGACCTGTAACCTCGCACTGAGACCTGTAACCTCACACTGAGACCTGTAACCTCACACTGAGACCTGTAACCTCACACTGAGACCTGTAACCTCACACTGAGACCTGTAACCTCACACTGAGACCTGTAACCTCACTCTGAGACCTGTAACCTCACACTGAGACCTGTAACCTCACACTGAGACCTGTAACCTCACACTGAGACCCGTAACCTCACACTGAGACCCGTAACCTCGCACTGAGACCCGTAACCTCACACTGAGACCCGTAACCTCGCACTGAGACCCGTAACCTCACACTGAGACCTGTAACCTCGCACTGAGACCCGTAACCTCACACTGAGATCCTGTAACCTCACACTGAGACCTGTAACCTCACACTGAGACCTGTAACCTCACACTGAGACCTGTAACCTCACACTGAGACCTGTAACCTCACACTGAGACCTGTAACCTCACACTGAGACCTGTAACCTCACACTGAGACCCGTAACCTCACACTGAAACCCGTAACCTCGCACTGAGACCCGTAACCTCACACTGAGACCTGTAACCTCACACTGAGACCTGTAACCTCACACTGAGACCTGTAACCTCACACTGAGACCCGTAACCTCACGCTGAGACCTGTAACCTCGCACTGAGACCTGTAACCTCGCACTGAGACCCGTAACCTCGCACTGAGACCTGTAACCTCGCACTGAGACCTGTAACCTCACACTGAGACCTGTAACCTCGCACTGAGACCTGTAACCTCACACTGAGATCCGTAACCTCGCCCTGAGACCCGTAACCTCACGCTGAGACCTGTAACCTCACACTGAGACCTGTAACCTCACACTGAGACCTGTAACCTCACACTGAGACCCGTAACCTCACACTGAGACCTGTAACCTCACGCTGAGACCTGTAACCTCACACTGAGACCCGTAACCTCACACTGAGACCTGTAACCTCGCACTGAGACCTGTAACCTCACACTGAGACCTGTAACCTCACACTGAGACCTGTAACCTCACACTGAGACCTGTAACCTCACACTGAGACCTGTAACCTCACACTGAGACCTGTAACCTCGCACTGAGACCTGTAACCTCGCACTGAGACCTGTAACCTCACACTGAGACCCGTAACCTTGCACTGAGACCCGTAACCTCACACTGAGACCCGTAACCTCACACTGAGACCTGT